AAATAGTTTCTTTTTCATTAAAATTAGAGCAAGTGCTTTTATCACTGTCAATTTCACTTAACTGCGACTCAATAGCATTCATTATAGTATTATTTATGTTTTCAGTAGAAGATTCTTTTTTTACATATGATAATTCATTGTTTTTCAATGATTTTGTTTGGTCTTTTTCGAGTAATTTGTTATTTTCAGATACATTTTCATTAAGGTGAAAACTTGTAGCTCCAATTGTATCGATACTAGAATTTGGAACTAGAGGCATAAATGGAGCTATTATTGATGAAGATTGATCAATTGGTAGATTAAAATGTTTTGAAACATCATTTTGGCTATTCGAGTAAACTTTTGTAACATTAATTAATTTTTTGACAATTTCAGAAACATTTTGTACATCTAAGTGCTTTTTTTTACTACAAAAAGATTTTTTGGTAACCCCTGGACTGTTTTGAATATCAATTTGAACTAAATCTTCATTACATTTTTCAGCAGTATCAACAACACTATCTGGTACATTTATAATACTCTTTTTTACGTTAACGGGTTTTTTGACTATTTCTAGAACATTTTGTACATTTGAGTGTTTTCTTTTATTACCTGATAAATTTTGAACGTGTTCTAAATTATTGTCTTTATTAAAATGATCTTTTTCTTTGTTAACTGGTAATTTGGCTAATTTAGACACATTATTTTGAATATATTTTTTAATAGATTTAGATTCATTAATATTTTTAGAAACATTTGATATTTCATCATTACAACTAGATGACATTTCTTCTTCTTCAATATGTCTAGAAACATTACTTGATGTTTCATCACCAATAGATGAGCAATCTATTTCTACAATGGAATTTTCATTTACTACATATGAAAGTTCTTCAACATTTTCAGAAATATTGTTTGGCAATTCATCATCAATGGTTGACATTTCTTTTTCTGGGAGTGAAAGTTCTTCATCATTTTCAGTAATATTGTTTGGTATTTCATCATCAATGGTAGACATTTCTTTTTCTACATGTGAAAGTTCTTCAACATTTTCAGAAATATTGTTTGGCATTTCATCATCAATGGTCGACATTTCATTTTCTACATGTGAATGTTCTTCAACATTTTCAGAAATATTGTTTGGCATTTCATCATCAAAGGTCGACATTTCTTTTTCTACAGCTACAAATTCTTCGGCTTGTTCAGAAATATTATTTGACATTACATCATCAATAGTTGAAATTTCTTTTTCAACAGATGAAAGTTCTTCAACACATTCAGAAATATTACTTCGCTTTTCAACATTGATGAGTAAAATTTCTTTTTCTGCAGCTACAAATTCTTTGGCTTGTTCAGAAATATTATTTAACATTTCATCATCAATGGTTGAAATTTCATTTTCTACAGTTTTTGAAACTTCATTTATATTTAAAGAAACACAATTGGAAGTTTCATCATTAATGGTTAAAATTTCTTTTTCATGAATTTGCTCTGAGCATTCTACTTGAATTTTATCATCATCAATGTGATCTGAACTTAATTCATGATCTAAATTACGCGAGAGCTTTTGAAGATCTGAATTGTTTACCAAACCGATTTCAGTATTTTTTAATAAACTTTTATCAGTGTTTTGTATAGTATTTTCATTTTCATTACAAGATATTTTTTTTAAAGAATCTTCTGCTTCAAAAAAATTCTCTAAATTAATTCGTCTTGAAGAAATAGAATTTTCCGATACAATTGTATTTGATTCAGGAGAGGTATTGTTATGTTTTGATCCACTCATACTAAGCAAATCAGATGCTCGTATACTATGTATAGAAGATTCATTAGCCCGTTTTTCAATGGAGTTAACAAGACTCATTACTTTATTGCCTCTTGATCCCCGTTTAGATGATTTATTTAGATTAGAAATATCTAAAATTGGTGAATTAATAAGAGACGAAACACTACTATCTAATGGTTGAACACCATCTAAGTCATCATCAAATTCTTCAGCATCAAATAGTACATCTTTCTTGGAATCATCTGAGTGATTAGTATCAATTACTTGATTATTAGAAACAATAAAATTAGATCCAGAATGAAGTCGATTTTTTGAGATTTTAATTCTGCTATCTGTATTAGGTAGCCGAGCAAACTGAACCATTCGACAACTTGATCTTGATCGATTAGGTTTAGCAGTTTTAGAACACTTTAAAATAGAACGTCTAGGAGCTGGTGTATTTTGTTCTACCACAACTGGTACATTATCAAGAGAATAAGTATCTCTTCTGGAAGTACCCAGTTGTGGTTCAGGATCTGAATGTAAATCTACAATATTAGATTCTGATGTGACATCTAAGTAGAAATCTTCAGCTTTGCCTTCAGCACGAGAACTAGTAGAATGTTCATCATTTATCATATTTGGTGGTTCTGGAGAATCAAATTCTACATTTTCATCAGCATAATGATAACTTGAATTAAATTCAGGAGTAGAATCTCTTTTTAACCTTTCACAAGATAATCTGTTTAAGACATGTACTCCATTTGAAGATGAGTTATTTGGTGTATGAGTAACAACCCATGATTTTCTTTGAGTTACTTTTGAATCACCCATCACCTAATACAGAATTAAATATTATTTTTGTGCATGAAAAGAATAAAATCTTTTTTTATTTTTAAATGAAACATTCTCAATATATGTTTTACATAAATAACAATATTATTGAACTTCATAATATTTTAAATAAAAATATATTATTCATACTTGTATATTAGAATAAAACATAAAATAATTGAAATCAGTAGTTCCCAACTTGTAAATAGTTTGAATAAATTCCAATGACACTACAGCTTATATGAAAATAAAATACCTAATAATAATTTATTTTTCATGTTTATAATACTTAGCAGAGAAGCACTGTTTTAATGATAAATATTCAGAAAAGGGTACTGTAGGGTAAGAAGTTCGTGTTTAAATCAAATTGGCTTAAATTGTCTAAAATAAGTTATGGTTAAATTTTTAATAAAATAAATATTAAAAATTAATCAACTTATATTTGATAGTAAAAATAAATATTATTTACCGGTATGTTATGACCAGGAACCATAACTAATGATTTAACTGATTGATGTTCAGATTGAGGAGTTACACCTGAAAAAAAAAGTTTTAATATTTATGTAATAACTAATAGTAGATACTGAACAAGAAAATATTAAACAGATTATACTTTTCATAAAAAACAATTAAGTATACAAAAAGATGAAGATTTTTATTCTTAACTAATCACAAACAAAATGTGTTGATATTTAATTATATAGGCATATTTTAAAATTAAATATATAATACCATAATTTTACTCTGGTTAATATACATAAATCAAGGAAATATTAACAAAAAAAAAAAAAAAAAATTATGAAGTATAAGGAATTACAAAATATAAAAAATGTATGTAAAAACTGAAATACAAAAAACGAAGAAAATATTAATATATTATCAATTTAAAAAATATCAAATCAATATCACAAAATATTTCAAGGTGTAGAGAAATAAAATAAATGAATCTAAACTAATATTATTTAAATCATTTTTATAATTTTAATAAGCAATTTTTTAAAGATAATACATAATAAAATACATACTTGAAGTTTGTTTTTGTAAACTATTTTTCAATACATCAAAAGAAGATTTGGACATATTTGTAGAAGCTACAATGCTATAGACATAAAATAAGTAATATAGTCATTTTTTTTAAAATTTAAAATGCTTATTAATTTAAATAAATACTTACATAGGTGTTTTGTTAAAACTTAAAATGGTTTTAGATGGAGTTTTAGATGGAGTTTTTATATTTCCCGCAACTGGAGTCATTTTATTGTCATTCTAAAATAAATATTATTATACAAATATTTAATTAATAAATATAAAAACAGCTATAAAAATAAAATTGTATTTGAAATATGTTTGAATGAGTGCTATCTTTTTCATAATATTTCATCTTTAATGTATCTTTAATGGATGGCATTATTTTTTGAAAATTTGCGAATATATTATGAAAATAACTTAGGAATTTTATCGAAAAATAAATTTAATTAAAAGGGCAATATATATTTAATAAAATTAATAATTTATTTTAATTATTGCTATAATAATAATTAATGACCTTAAACTATTCTTAGTAAAAGCAAATAAGATAAAATGAAATAAGATAAGATGAAATAATTTGATGTTTAAAAAAAATATTAATACACTATTTGATGTTATAAATTGGCGGTCTTCTGAATATTTTCAGTAAATGTAAATAAATAAATATTTATAATATAAATTATATGTAATAAACAATGAAAAACTCTACAGTAATTTTATCAGTTAAAACAAAATACTTCAACTAAGTCATAAAACAAAAATTAATTTAATATTATGATTCCAAATTGTCAAGGAAAAAAAATTTTTTTTTTATAGGATTTGATAAGATTAACTTAATGTTGATCAGTGTAAAACACCTTGGCTTAGTAGATGAGATGGTAGTAGCAGTTTCTTTACTCTCAATAAGTATCCTTGACAACAACACCCTTATTTTTGTAAATTAATCCTAAGAAAAATGTATAACTAATTAAAGTATCACTCTAGGAAGTTCTAAAATAAATATGTTAAAGTAATGAACATTAATTAGAAGATAAATAAATTAATAAAAGAAATCTAACTATTTTTTAATTAATTTTATATTAAAAATAATTTGTAGAATATTTAAACAGCAACAGGGACATAGTGTACTGGTCTACTGACTTATCAAATGACCATCTATCTGAGAATTAGTGACCAAAGGAATAACTGAAATTAGCTAGAAAATAATCAACGAGTTACCATACCACATAAATATCAGTTATACATAATAATACAGATAATATTAGATTAAAGAAAAAAACAATAATTAAATAACAAAAATAAACTACTTAATAATGTTCAAGTTATATACTTTAGGTACCAATGGTTTGTTGACTTGGTTTGAAAAATGTTCTGGTGTTTTTGATGATGTTAAGCTATTTCTTGTTAATGTTTTTTTACCAGATAAATAATTTGGTTCACTGAAGTAGAAGAAAATGTAATCAATAAAATATCTCAATACAGCATTATAAGAAATATATTTAATATTAAACTTACATGTATGATTTAGCATACTCCCATACAAATTTTCTACCACCAATATCAATCTCATCTGTATGATGCAATAAAAAATTATTCCTACCAATTTTTTTTCCATTGACTTTGGTAGTACCAGCCATACTCTTATCGCGAATATATGCCTTTAAAGGTTAAAACCAATATTAATATTTACTTACAAAATCAATTCAAGTAGTTTATTTTTACCTTATCATCAACAAAAAATACACTGCAATGGTGAGCAGATACATTTTCTAAAAAAATTTTTATATCACAGTTTTTAGCACGCCCAAAAATGCATTCTTTTTTTGTCAGTGGATAACGACCACAAATTGTTCCATTTCCTTTTTTGATTAATATAAAACCATAATAGGTTTGTGATTTTTTGCAATCCATATCTACAAAAATTAAATATTAAGATTTTAGGATAAATTAAAATATAATACAAATATAATTGGAAATAAAAAAATGAACAAATAATAATTGATTAAATTAAATTACATGTATGAATTCAAGTTCCATAAAAATAATAACTCTTATAATACATACTAATATACATAATAATAAATACTAGTAAATGAATAAAATAATTTTCAAAAATAAAATTAGCTTATCATAATGTAAAAACTAATATATAGATATTGTTTATCATAATTTAATTTTAATTTATAGTTAAAATACATCAAATCTGTCAAAATAAAATATTTATAATATGAAAATGTTATCACAAAAAATACATTGACGATAGACAAAATGAATTATTTTAAACATTATTAACGTTTTAGCTAATTTATTTACTAACAAGAATCAATTTCAGAAAATTGTTTTTAGATTTTCCACTTTGATAAATTATTGAAAACTAAGTATATTCAGTACCCACAATATAAATAATAATTAATTATAACACTTAAAATTAATTTTTTTTCCTATATATATATATATACACACACACAACTTGTCCCACCCCTAGAAAAATCTCTGTAGGCGCCTATGTACTTATTACGTTTGTTTAAAATCTGTACATGTGGTGTTGAAACTTGATTGAGACTTGATTATAAATTATAGAGATAATAAACTAACCTTTCTTTTAAGCTCTCAAGCTATAGTTAAATGTATTCAAAAGAATCAGAAAATCTTTCATGAATATCATATCTACTGGTCACCTCAACCACATTACAGGCTGAACCTTGTATCCGTGATTCTTATAAACCGTATCTACTATATTTATATAAAATAATTTAACATCAAAGTACATAACACTTGTAAAAAAATAAAAAACCTATTCACATATGTTCACAATGGAATTGTAAACCTAAGTTCATAGATAGTTTTAAAAATGTATACCACACATATATGATTAGACTAAATTAATAAGTATAAAGTTCAAAAACAAAGACTTATACAAAAACTTTCGTTATCAATGTGTCGCTGTTTCCAGTGGTTGGATAACAAAACAAGTATGCCAGACGGATCAGTGACATTAGGAAGGAGATCGAGCGCTCGAAAAATCGTGCCGTCGCAAAAACACTAACCGCTCCGAGTTATTGAAAATAGAAAAAACTGAAATGTGTTACAACCTATTACTTACCCGATACGCACGGATATAGTGGTGTAACTCGGTTGAAATAAGTACGACGAATACGAGGGGATGAACGTACCGACGGAAGTTGTCTATGAAGTCGCGAGCGCGCGCGACATAAAATAAAACGAATACAGGGACGTGAGAAGACGACGGAAGGGCAAAACGGCACGAACGCGAGTTCACACGCGGAAACGACGGGCGACCATCACGCGAGCGGGTTACGCGAAAGACAACGGCGAACCATAAACAATGTTTTTGGCGCCAACTGGAGCTGCTGCACACTTTGGTAACAGAGACAAAACGTAAAAACCGTGCACGGCACAAAAAACAACCGCAGTACGTTTGACCGTTACAGATAGAACGGTTACGGCTAGTCGCCAGCCGATTGGTTATCACGTTAGTACGCTAGGAGCGCTCACGTCACCATAGAGTAAACACGAGCGTCCAGATGACGAATTCAAACGGCTGCAAAATGGCCGGTTCGAATTATTCATCATATCCATGGTCCGGTTACGGTAATACGTTGTTAATGAGTGTACTTGGTTTAAAGTGGAAAGAAATCGGTTGCAAGGGAATTTATTGTTTGCTTCGTATTTCGTAGACTTTGCAGTTAGTATTATTAATACCAAATACGAGCATAGTGCAGTCCGTACAAGACACTGGGTGTAAAAATCCCATGGGTTTCCAGACTGTACCCTATTATCGTGTGCAGTAGTGATGGGCGATTTGAATCGATCTCCATTCCTTTCAAAAGGTCGATTCGTTCTAGTGAAGATTGAATCAAATCGTTAATCACGATTTTTTATGTGAATCTAATCGTTGTTATTTTTTGATCCGATTATGTAATACAAATTGAAAGAAATTACTTATTTTATACTATCATCTAATTTTCACATAAACCACAGGCAAAACTGCAAATAATGCAATCAATTGATTAAAACAAAACCGCACACAAAGTGAATCGATCTTTTTTTGGATTGTTTTTTACATTCCGTTTCAAATCGATTCATTTCCAGAATTGCTCGTACCAGCTACAATTTGTACGTTACATTGACATTTAAAAATGTAGAATAATACATTGTTCCCATAATGTTTGGTACCACTGAATAGTTTGTTTAATTTTTCCTATGTGATTTGGTTTTATATGTTATGATCTTTAATATTGGTAACCTGTTATTGATTTTGGTAACTGATACAAACTGTTATTGTACTCAAAAAATAACAGTTGCTGTTGTTTTAATTAAAAAAAAAAGAGAGGTATCCCTATCAATTTTAGTATGCTATATAAGTAGGTAGTTAGGGATGCCAAAATTTGTTTTGACTGAAATTTATAAATACTTTAGGTTGTTAGTATAACAAAAATTTACGATACAACTTCGAAATGACAGAATAATAATAATAATAATATGATTATTTAGAATATTAAAATAATTAATGATGGGAATAATCGATTGATTAGTAATCGAAAAAAAATAATCGGTTGATTTTAATAATTGAATGATTCATATTAAAATAAAATCAATATAACGGCACATATCAAAAACAATGATAGTTCCATTACTCATAATAGCGATTATTAGCACGCATATTTGAATACGTGATAATATATAAAGGTAAGAAGTATAGATTTTATTGTTCTCTTTTTTTAAATTTATTCCTTCAATTTTTTTCAGAATCATTAAGTTTTTTGTCTCTCCTGAACAAATTATAAATTGTGGACATATGCCCTTCTAGCATTTAGTGATTCATATGTAATAACTATTATAGGGAAAAAGTTCACATGTCCAGGACACCGTCGAACTGAATTTGCCTTTTTTTACTAAAACGCTTCAAGAAGTAACACACAATATATATTTGATATATTATATTATCTTTCACGTTTTATTTTTATAGACTGTTATTAGATACAATTGTCGAATTGTATGTTTTCGACATTTTTTACAGTAAAGTTGATTCTTAATACCACAAATATCTATTCGTATAGCCGTATACATAACCCTAACATTCAACATTGATATTAGAATGGTTATGAATGTTACATAAATATAAAATCTACCATTTGAAACGAATCATTTATGTTTCGTATAGGTATTTGAATATTTGAAGAAATATAAAATACTTGAATATTTTTTTTATCAAAATGGTTTTGGTAAATAGGCAAATCAAGATAATTGAGAGAGAGGTGATATTTAAAAACATCAAAACTGTATACTTCTAATCTGTGTTTTCTGAAAATAATAATAACCTCTAACCCAGTGTTTCTCAACCGGTGTGTCGCCGAGCAAGTCCAAATGTGTTGCGTGAAGTACTAATATTAAATGACAAAAAACATTATTAACACTATTAACTATTTACAAAAATTTATAGGTATTTGATATAATTTCCATGATAATAAAAATAGATTTTCAGCTATCGACATAAAATAAATTGTATTATTATCGTTGGATTATTATTATTATCGTCATTTTGAACGATTAATCGCGTTCGAATCGCCTAATGTGTGTCATCTTAATTTATAAAAGTTGGTTTTTGTTATTTTCGTTTATTTTTAAACAGTAAATACGTATAGTATATTTATACTGAAAACATGCACCGTATCAATAACTCACTTTATTTGTATGTTCAGTTGTCATTTACTTCTATAGTCGAATAGACTTTTTCTTAATTTATTAACAATATTTTTTTGTTACTAAAACCTAACTTGCAGAATTAAAAAACGATCGCACTCTTCAAATGAAATTTAATGAGCTTGAGCTAAGCCAATTTTGGATTTACACAAAAAAAGAATATCCGAACTTAACAAAATTGGCTCATTCCGTAATATTACCATTTTCGACATCATATTTGTGCGAGGTAGCTTTTTCTGCTTTAAATGAAATTAAAAACAAAAAAAGGGAAAGATTAATTAATGTCGAAGAGGAGTTAAGATTCGCCTTATCGAAGATTTCGCTACGAATTGATACATTATGTAAGAAATATCAGTCACAAATTTCTCATTAAAATGCTGTTTTACCTATGTTATATTTTTCTTTGTTGTTTTATATACTATAATTGATTATACATTATAAGTTTATATATTATTAACTAATTATAAATATTTAATACTATCTATTATTCTTATTTTTTTTACTATGTGTCGCAAAGTATGAAATATTTTAATAGTGTGTCGCCATTATACAAAGGTTGAGAAACACTGCTCTAACCACTGAAACAGAATGAATCACCGACAAAATATCGCAGGTAAAATATCGCGTGACCAAAATATCGCAACTAAAATATCGTGAAACCATTATATATAATATTATATTATACTAATAATTATAATATAATATATTATATCGCATTACTCAAGTTATCTGCGACCAGTTCTATCCTATGGATGCGAAACGTGGTCGGTCACTAAGGGAAATGAAGATAAACTTCTGACTTTCGAAAGGAAAGTACTGAGACGCATTTATGGTCCTATCACAGAAAGTGGTGAATACAGAAGAAGAACCAATAGTGAAATCTACCTAATATACTCAAAGCCCAATATTAAATCCTTTATAAGAGGCAAACGATTAGAATGGGCGGGACATACCTGGAAATCTACTGGTATAATAAAAGATGTAATGATTGGCACTATGAACGGGAAAAGACCTAGAGGGCGTCCAAGACAGAGGTAGATGAACTTAATCAAATCAGATCTTGAAAAATGTGCTCCAGGATTAAAATTAGAAGAGTGTGTGGATAGAGATAGATGGCGTCAAATAGTAGAAGCAGCGAAGGCCCTAAATGGGCTATAGAAGCTAGAAAAAAAAATAAATATTGCATTGAATATTTTTTCTGCCAGTAAATTAAACAAATTATGCTTATCTTTTTTTTTCTCATTTTACTCATTTTTATCTTTTTACTAAAAAGGTTGTTAAAAACGTCGCTTTATTATTTTTTGTATGCACTATGCCGAAAATATGCGTTGAAACTTTTAATTAATTTCAATTTAGAAACAAATACTCTTATTATTCATTCAATAAATGTAGCCGTATGTACTTGTGATTAAGGCTAATTTAATTTCAAACTTTAATATAGTCGATTATTTGGCCAGGTTATATTAAATAAACGATAGTTAATGTCTTTGAAATCGATTTTCTTTGTGTATAAATCGTTTTAAAATGAGTATTATGTGAATTCGAACTTTTTTAAAACCCATAATTACATAATGTTTGTTACAAAGTATATATCTTGATACTCTAGTTAATTAAAATAAAACACAAACGGTTATCTGTGATTACAAATCACTTAATTTATAAATTATCAGATTAAAAAGTTAATTAAAAGTAGTATTAGTTGGTAAAATAATACTTGAAAACATTGCAATATACATATAGTGAAAAAACATGATCACTTGCGATAATATAATTTTTATTAAGTCAGAATCGATAGTTGAATTACCTACAATTAAAATAGAAAAAGAGTAATTCAAACTAATCAAGAAATTGTGGCGAGTGCTGAATCTAATGTATGAGCATGCGCACTTATCATAATGTCTTGCAGTTATATTAATTTATAATTAATAAATAATAAGCAAATTTGTATTAATTTATTAATAAGACTTTAATTTTATAAATATACAATATCACTTACTTAAATAACATTTAACCAACTAAATAATATTAAAAAATAGCACAATAAAACAAAACGAAGAAAAATTGCCATATACTCGTACACGTAAATTTTATAAATTATGACATTGACGAAGCGCAACAGAATGGGCATGGCCTAGGTAATAAATACCGCGGCTGCTAGTAGAGGTAGTCTTAGAATAACTGGTATTTTACAGCGGTAACAAGCATCGTTTAGCTTGCTCACACATCTATCGCATGCTCTGTCACAGGGGCATATTTTAAGGGGGCGAAGGGGGAGATCACCCCCTCCCCTGAATCCGTATTTAAGGAACTGATTAAACGAGTATGTGAGATACACATTACACATTTTTTTAATTATTTTTAATTTCATATAATGTGTGATCGTTATACGTAATGATTTATTCTTTTATAGCTTATTTTTGGTTCAAAGTTGTTATTTAAGTCATTTCTTTAGATTTGGACGAAACTTGAAAATGTAGTGACACTAAATGAAATAGCAAATAGTTTATTTCTGATCATAATGGATTGCATACAGCTTAGAATTGGTGCATTCTTCTTAATCAAATAAATATTTTTTTTATTTTTTTTTAAGTAAATGTATTTATTAGTGTTTCTTATTTGAATTAATAATTCTTCATGCGTATTGAGGGGTTAGTACTGAAATAAATTATAAAATTAATTACTATATTTATAACAATTGTATTTATTTTTATAATTATTTTGTTCAAATCTTACAATATGTTATATATATTATATAATGAATTATCAATATATGTTGATTATTAAAGTTCATTTTAACTAATTTTTTTAATTAAGAATTGAAATAATTTATTTAGACTACATTAAAACCATTAAGATTAAAGAATATCTATACATAAATTTAATTGTTAAATATATATATAATTTAAGAATAGGTATTGAAAAACAGTTAAATGGTCAATGAGAATATAACCAATTTTTTAATATATTTTTTAATCTCAAAGTAACTATTTTAGCTTTGATATTTTTCATAATTGTGTATTAATAATTACGTTACATTTTTACTCATTTACATATATTTTGTTTCTATTTATTGTATTTAGTTATATTAATATTTCAAGTTACAAACCAAAAGTATAATAGATACAAACCTAATCAGTATATACTTTCTTTTTCTTTTCTTTTAATTCATCAACATATATTTTAAAAGTAACATACCTAATTATTTAAACGTATATTTACCGTGTGAGTTTGCATTTTTCTCACAGTGTTTTAAATTTATTTTAGAAATAGGTTTAATTACTCAAAGTGAGGGGCAAGCAACTTTTTTCATACAATTGTTTTATTTTATTGTTATATTTTTACATTATCATTTAATTATATGTGTACCTGTGTTTCATTATAAAATTAATTTAAAATAAAATCCATTATAATCAAATTATATGTGTGCATTATACATTATACATAAATAATAATATACATTTACCATAAAAATAATTAAAAAATGAACGACAAGTGTACTATAATAATCAGTGGCGCACACAGAATTTTTTTCAGGGGGGGGGGGGTGTCAAGGTAAAAATATAACACATTTTACAATTAACAAATGATGCAAATCCTTAATATATTTTCACTTAAATAATAGCATTGATAATAGAATAGACTATTCTATAATCAATGATACTAGGTATTCAATACTAGCTCTTCATATTTCAAACTTGTAAAATTTATAAATTTTAACCTAGACATAGGAGAAAATTTCGGGGGGGGGGTAAAACCCCTTTCCCCCCTCCCCTGCGTGAGCCACTGATAATAATATATTATTATAAAATCAATTTTTTTTTTACGTCAATATACATTATAACCATATTTATTATATTTAAAAGGAAATAATGAATTATATTGTAAAAAATATATGGAAAACAAACATACTGATATTTTTTTTTAAATTAGTTTATTTATAACATAAAAATATTCCATTCATTAAGCATATTTCGTGCTAAAATGTCCGTGTACAAACTGGCAATTGATACATTTATCTCATCATTATTTATTTAGCAACAATATGTCAGTAAAATATATATATATATTGGATAGATTGGACGAAATATTTTAAATATATTATATATTTATATATAATATTACTCATGCATCCCTTTCATAAAAAATAACTGAAAATTTGAAAATTATAGCCATAATTTTATAGGTAATAAAAGAAGTGTAAAAAATATTAATTTATTGCAATGCAGTTGCTTAAGTGAAAAGAAAAATTCAACTTTTGTAATTGAGGAATTTGCTTTGAACGTATAGAATAAAAAAAAAAATTTAAAAAAAGCGTATTGATTTACATACATTTCCCATATCTATATATGTATTTCTATAATATTAGAATATTTCGTCAATCTATCCCTATAGTTACACATCAATTAAATAAGGAACATTTTCTTACAAGAATATATATAAAATGAAAAATACAATTATAATTAGTATTTGTATTATATGTATATCTGTATGAATGTATGAGAATGTATTATCAAAGATTAGAAGTATAAAATAAATATTAACATCAACAGTACAAATACTAATTAAATTATATTTTATCATGACGACAAATTAGTTGGCAGAGGAGGAAATCTTAGAAGTAATAAAGCTCATTTCCAGTTTCCGTTGGTCAAATTAAAAAAAAATAAATAAATAACAATAATAATAACCAAGGCATAATTATGATATATTAAAATATATAATTTCTTATGTTTTATTCGAGGCAAATTTGTTTTGAAAATTATACGTGAAATTCTGATTTCACTAAAATATACGTCTGTATTAAAATAATTGTACAAATAATACATAAACTCAACTATAGAAGAGTAAAAATATGTATAGTGTTCTATCATTAAAATATTGAATAGAGTATATTATCTCTAATAGTGAAATTGATTGACTAGTGTTTTCTTTAACAATAATAATAATAATAATAAAAATAATAATAATAGTATAGTAATCATATGATGTTATTAATTATATTAATAACATTTAATTACAAATGAAATATACATTATAATATGTTAACAGTGAATGTTTATAACTATATCCAAAAACAACTTAATGAGTTAATGCGAATCCTTTGGCATATAAAATTATATTTTATTTAGAGAGTTGGGTGAGAATCTGGACACAAGGGCGGAAGCAAGGAAAATTGTTATTTTATAAGGATCAAATGCTGCGTTGGACGTAGTTTCCGGGGAAAGTACCAAAACATCCCGTCCGTTTACTTGATCCCACGTACCAACCGTCGTCGCATTTCTCCATAACGAACACTACATCGCCTTCTCTGAGTTCCAGTTCGTCACTGTTCTGAGGCTTATAATTGTATAACGCCCTATAACTGTTAACAACTCGGTGATAAATCGTTAAATATCGGTACAAATCTTAAACCAAATATAATTATTCAACACGCGTATATTATAAATAATTAAATATCAATAAAAATTTTGTGATCTACACATTAAAAACGTTTTTGGTGTGTACAAGATTTTATAAAGTATTTCTTTTTTTTTGTACTTTTATTATTATTATATGTATGATACATATAGTAAAGAAAATTACTTATTATAGTTTATAGATCAAGATATTAAAACGTTAAAAAATGGTTGAATATTATCTAAATCTAACATAATGTTGTGCTCGAAATAGACAGAACGTTAAATTAAGATACTAAAATACTACGATTGAGTTATAATAAAATTAAAATCAGAATATTTATACAATTTCTTCGTTTGAATTAAAATTTAACACATCTTTATCAAATACACATGAATCTGTATTTTAAAAAACCCAAGTAAATCTTTAGTTTTTTGTTTGATAATTTAGTTTTTAATCGTATCACTAAAAGAGTTTTCTTAGTTACCTATTTTAATGAATGTGATAAATGTAATAAGTATACGAATATGTTAAGAGTTTACAGTCGCTAGATAAAGTGTAATAATAAGTTCAAAATTAAAAATTTAATAACTACAAATATTTTATTGCAATATAAAGTTTTTATTATTATCAAAATAAATTATTTAACTAAATAATTATTACGATATTTATTTATGAAGCTATACTTTATACATTTAACTGTTTACTCACGGCATAGGTTCTGAATGTACGTCAACGTGTAGAGTTTCATTAATGTTATTCGTTTGTTTCTTCATTTGAGTCCCAGAATTTCTTGTCGGCTACAAATATCATCGACAATAAGTTTCCCTAACTTCATAAAACATAACAATTTTTTTTTGGTTTAGACGATTTGATACCATAGAAGAATAGCTATCCGGCTGGTACATGTGCTGCGTTTTCGGCGGGTTACTGGTGATCAAAGAATGAGCTGCTGGAGAAGCTACGGGCTTGACAGATGCACTGATCGAAGGATCTAAAAAAAAATTATTAAAATTGTTGAATTGTATTTAATATCAACTTCACATAATTTGCTATTAATATTTTTATAGAAATAACTCGGTATATATAATATACATGTAAATAAACTAATATATTATAATTATCATTCAATACAAACAATAAAAATGTGAAAAAAATTACTTGGAATATCACCTGGTTCCACTAGGACTGTAACGTAAGATACAGGAAATATTCCTTTTTTGCTACCAATCCTTCCTTCATACCAATTGTTGTCGACACGTCTAGTCAAGACGACCAGTTCCCCTGAAGATGAAAAAAGAGTTTTTTATAATGTATAGCGATCGTTTTTACGAAAATTCCAAAATTTAAGGAGTGTTTCAAAACAATACGAATGATGTTGCATTTTTTGTACATAGAATAGCATTCATTAAATAGTACAATTTTATATTTTTCGTCGAATGTAGATAATTCTTATGCGGCGGCATGCGTATTTATTATTATTATTATTATTTAATAACTGCAAGTTTAAACATAGATTTATCATATTTTTTTTCACCTTTAACTAATGATAGTTCCATATTGGTCTGTGCCACAAAGTTGAATTTTGCTCTTGCCTGGCCTTCATAAGGCCTATGCGGTGTTGTTCTGATACCATCGTACGGAATTACCTGCCAAAAATATAAAATGTTACACTCTCGTAGGTTTGGATTGCGTGAATTCTATGAACCAGAAACAGTAATATTTGAAAAAAAACATGCGCACCTCGACATAGTTGAAAGGAAACAATCCGACCATGGCGTTGTGTTCCCCTTCGTACCAATTTTTATCGATCTGTTTCCGGACGAATATGATGTCACCTTTCCGGAACGATAATTCTCTATACATAAACGTACATAAAATAAATTACTAATGTAATACACTCGATTATTGCACGGGATTATACGGATGTAAACGTACTTTTACTCGTAATTTAGTTTCGTTACCTGGACGTTTGGCCGACGAAATTATACAATGCTCTGGCGACAAGCTTAGGTTCTGGGGTCCGGCTTCTTGGTGGCTGAGGAGTCTCGTCTAAGAAGTCATCGTAACGATTTAAAGGAATAGGAGACTTTTGAGAAGGCCTGTAAATATTTTTTATTAATTTTTTTCGAATTCCATTGCATTTTAACTAATAACCACTAACAATAAGTTGTCTGCGTGTCTTCTGTTTGACATGTCTTGAAGTTCTTGGAGATACTTTCTTCTCCTTTCTTCTTGGTAAATCCTTCTCATAGCTTCTGCCTGTTTGTTGGCCAGATCTTCTTCTGACCATTCTTCTTTAATCTCGTTTCGAACTGGACGTCGATACTGTAGTGTCACCTCTGATTCCGCATATTTGTGTGGTGAATCTAAAATGTATTTTGTTATACTATATTGCTTCATTGAAAATAGTAAAGTTAGACTTAAATATTTTATATCAATTTCTTTACACTGGAACTCTATACTAGAGAAGCCTGATAGTTTAAAAATATTTCGCTGTAACTAAAAGTCAGTTATTGCGTATAGTCCCCCTCTGAATATCGGTTAAAATTAGGAATCGAACACCGTAGGGAACGATATAGTGACACTGAACAATGAAAAGAATGATGACAAAATCAACAATGAACACAATGAATTGCGTGCAGTAAGTTTTATTCTTTACTTCCCTTCATTTCTAAAACCTAACATTCGGATGTCGGTTTACCATCAAATATATTTGTATGAATTCGATAAAGCCTAAATGTGAAAAAAATCTATTCAATAGTTCTACGTTTGTTTTGTTGTACTTTTTTCCAGTAACATCTAATACAGAGTAAAAGACCTTCAGAATAGTTCAGTTTTGAGCATATTCAGACACGTGCTGCGCTGTAGTGAATGGAAGATCTATGTATACGGGTCGTTAAACACGTCCAAACGGCAATATAATTATTAGTTTCTCTTCTTTTGACAATAGACTTTAGCAAAACATGTATTCCATTTTTTTTCTTTCACGTGAAAGCTATGCATCACGAAAAAAAAATTGATGAACTCATATTTTCTGCAATAATTTTCCGATGATTTTTAAGTAAAATTAAAAATAGACACGACTTTGGGTTCAATCATAACCAGATGTCTGCAATATCTGTCAGACGGAGGGAGGCTTCTAAAGTATTGGGCAACAAGATATTATAATCGTGATTGACGTGATTACGTCACTTGATTTATTACCAAGTACATATTGATTTAATGTATTTATAAAATATATACATACATTTTAATAGGCAAATTTGTAATTAGAAAAAAATTATTACATTAAATAGTTGGATAATTATTATTACGCAAGTTTACGATTACTTATCACGAACTTTCTCTAGCGTCGATTTAAGAATTTACATAGAACAAATTGAAAGTGATAATACATTCGATTTGAAATCCATAAAATTAGCTGTCATTAAAAACATTTCTTTTGTGAGTATACAATAAAAATACTTGTTAACGAACTAAATATAGACATTTTCCTCGAAAAAAAAAATGAAAACGTAGTGAAGAAAGTTATATTATGATTACATTCAAAAAAAGCAATAAAATATTTTTCATAATTCGAGATAGGAGAAGTATTAAATTGAAAGTGGATAAAAAAATGTAGAAAACCATTCAAAAAACCTTGGTATGTCGAAATGAAATCGATTACAGTAACGTTTTTGAGTCCTGTATATAAGTGCAGTCGGCCGTTTCCTTTGATCGAACAGCTGCTACTGATTAAACAAGACCACACTTTTTCCATTATTCACACGGACATTGACAATTTACTACGTATACGCACTTAAACATGCTGCTTGTAATTTATAACGCGTTTGTGAGCGAGCCTCGTAAAAGTAGTCCTACAGGTTTTTTTTTTACGAGGCGATTCTATATTTCCCGGGAACATTATTCGGAAACCTAATTTTATGATCGAAAGGGTTGAGTGAAAGAAACAAACAAAACGCACGGGGTAGAAAGTACACTATAATCTAATTTAATATCGGCGCCTGAGTGTGACCTTAAGACGGGAAAAGGGTTGGCGATAGTGAACGCCTAGAAAGGGTGAAGGGGCTATGTATATGATATACAGCTCAAATTTTTTGTACGTGGGCGGAACAAAACTGTTTGACCTATAATGTCCTCGAGCTTGTTTCTATCTGGAAACAATATTAAATATGTTTTTACCAGGTACGTTTAAATACCTGCGGTTAAACTATGCACGATTATGTTTCATATGGTATGGCTTGATTGTTTGGTGGTTATTATTCAAACTATAGACAAAACATTTGAGAGACAAGCCTGACTGTTGGTGGCTTGTGCCTTATAGATTATATCTAATTTTTAATGAAACGGAAAATTATAGATGAAATCGACCATGGAGAAAATTATGCTCAAGGTAATTGTTTATGACTGACTCATCAGATATTATAATTTACCTATACAATATATTTAAATGAAAAATAAATATTTTTATATTTTTATATTTTCAATATTATAATATTATAAATTATATTGAATCGAGAATAAAATCTAAAACTAATTTTCGGGTAATGAATATTTTTTTATTTTATCGTGTGTATGAAAACACATAAATGTGTTATACAAAAACACATACACATACGTCATACACAAATACACACATTAAAACACACATATGTACAGTATACTATTCTAATTCATTTATATTTAACTGAGATTTAACAGTACATCTAATAAGAACTACAAATGTGTTGGTATATGAATGCACACATATTTTTTTCAACAAAAGGTTTAATCAATAAGTGAATTCCCAATATGCAACAAATATTACGTTGTTATTATGCACAATATATTATATGGTGGTTAGTTGTACATAATAACATTATACAATATACATTAATAACACAACAAACATGATAAATATTTTGTCATAGTTGGGTACTGATATGTATAAATTCTTGTTTCATTTACATTTTGTAGTACTATTTACAATCAAACAGGTACACTATCATTAATTGTGAAATAACATCATGATTTCTGTTGATAATCTATCATGTTTGTATTCTCAGTAATTAGCTCAAAACTTAAGATAGGCGATAGACCGACATCATACTATCTACAGCCCCGAGTCATTTTTCATTATTTAATACATATTATATTGTTCTATAGAGTTTATTTTATCAGTTTCGGAACCACTAACAAACACGACCGTCGTATAGTCTGCACAAAATAATCAAATATTATACATTATAATATTTGGTAGAATAAAATATACAAATCGAATTATTATTATGTTCATGGCACAAGTTAATATCACTTTTTCGATGATTAACTTCAAACATAATAAAATTAAAAGAAAAGGGTAGGGCCTACGACGAAACAATTGTAAAGCATTGCAACACACTTAAAACTAAATGTATACCGTAAACAATTTGTCGCGAAAATGTAGAAACTCTCAAATATACTTAGGGATCATAAATTAACCTACGCATACAATTTACATTTGATAGCGTCTGGAATAAAACTTACTAAATACTCAATTTTATCTATAATCTGTGATTTCGCATGCCAAAATATGTAAATATAGCATACCCGATAAAAATTGAAGGTTTCTACATTTTTTAGATATACATATATAATACATTTTTGATAATTTTACACGAAAGACAATAACATAAGTCAATAAATAATATGAATTTAAATTTTTCAAAATCCTCTTTATTTTTCAATTTAAACTCTAATCGGTGATTTAAATAAAACCATAAAACAGTTAATATAATAATTTCTATTTTTTTTTCTATTGTTTTTCCGCAATATGAATTCATCTCTAAATACTTTAAATAAATTGATTATTATTATGTATAAATATGATTTTAATGTTGAATTTGTGGGAATGAAAGATGTTTTTTTTTTAATCAGATCCATTAAACTCTGTATAACTACTGCGATTCTTGTACTTGACACCTATACTTTGTACTAATTTTATTTATTATTAAGTGTATGTATTTTATGTACTACCTACTAATATAAGAGTATTTTATGTTTAAAAATTTAATTAGAAATCACGTCAGAAATGAATCAAATCGAAATTATAATTTGAGTTAAAATAGAGAATATTTTGATTACTATCTTGTAATATTGTGGTTTATTCTTCTACTTTAATAAATTGACATGCTGGTATTTCTTCTGAATATGTAAAATGTAAACGTATTTACAGATGTACAATTATACTTATTACTATCCATCTATGTTATTACCAACGAAATTACAGTACAACATATGTGTTAAAAATATACAAGTCAAATTGGTTAACTCCTCAGAATTAGTTGATTTAGAATCGGAATATTTGAATGAAGGAATACCCATTATTCATTTTTAAGCCGACGCATGACAAATATAATACTTATAATGACTTTTTCTTTATTTTATTGCAAGTACCTACTATAATGACCTCCAAAAACCATTTAAACTCTGTCCTTGTGCTAATGTAAAACCTAAAACTTTTAGCTCATTTACAGTTATTCATTTGTCAATTAGCTTGATTGCTATTAACACTAATAATGTCGAATACAGTACTTACAGTCTCCGTTGACAACGATCCTCCTCAGACTGACTGTTCTGGCAGGCAACAAAAGCGGTTTTTTCACGCCATCGCCAGCCATAACACTCAATACTCAAATTTTAATAACACTATCGTACAGCGACAAGTAATAGCACACCGAACCGGCCCTACTCGACCCATGATACAACGAACGACATCGTCCAAAGCCGAATGTGTACTACCACATGTTCGGCGGCAAAACAATCGGAATGGGACAACGGACAACCTACAGGCGATCGCAGCGCTCTCGTCTGGTGATTCCGTTTATAATTTGTATATTATGATCGGGGTCAATAACGTGGAAGAATGTCACAATAATGTATTCACTCACCCATGGTGCACAGGAATTTGGGTGTTTTAAATCCTATCTGGATTTCACGGGTAGCCTTGAACCTTGTCAAGGTTAATTTATGTGTGTATCCATTTGATGGTTCCTTTTCTGTTATGTGCCGTAAAACGTACATGGACCGTATTTTAATACTTTCGGTTTCTTTAGATGTTTAATTAATTAATTTCATCGCGTGTAATAAGACCATTGATAAAAGTCATTACGGAACTTCCGATATATATATTTATGTACTGTAGTTAAAATCTCCGATGTACCATCCAAGTGTTCACATGTAATATTTTATACGTAGTTGACTTTCTAAATCGGAACTGTTGGGGTGCAGTTAAAGTACAGTAGAACCTCGATTATCCGTGTTAGCGATTAACCGTACTCACTCTTCCGAAAATTTAAAAATAAGTATGGACTGTTGATATATATGTAGTTATAATCAAACGTTTTATATTACATAATACACGATATCGAAAATCGTATTAACGACATTTTTGACGATAATAATATGAAGATAAGCAATATTGTACATCGATTATTATATTTATCGAATCACCTTCAGTTTACTTTTGTTTTTCACTATCGCCGAACGTAACGTGCGTAATATTATGGATGTATGTATTACATTATTGTATGTATATTATGTAATTTCTAATTATAATTGAATCAAAATTTTCAAAATTTTATTATTATAAAATTCTACCTGTGTATTCCTAATTGTAATTAAATAAAAAATTTCATTATTATAAGAAGTCTTGATTAACCGTGATTTTCATTTATACGTGTGACCCCCTCCGTATCATTACCCCAGATAATCGAAGTTCCACTGTATACCTATTATTGTGTAAGTGTCGAATGATCTTTTTTTTTATAAAACAATCATTATTTTCAGTTTCTTCAAATATTATCCTAACAATATGAAAAAAAATCGTGTTTATGTAGACACTTAAATTAGCTACATACCATACATATGTGCATGATAAAGAGAATAATAATTATATACGAGTTTATAAATGTTCTAAAATAATTAAGATTTAAAAATGGAATTATTGGCAGTTTTTATAGTTTAATATTTTATTGTTATATTTTTTAATTAATCAAAAATATTTAAATTTAGAACTGTTTTTTCTATAAAACTAATGTGCGTTTTATATATTATTGTGTTTAGATAAATAATTAGCACCTTTAAATTTAACAACCGATGGTTTTGGCGGTAATGTTGGCTGTTGGGTCCATACACCATTCCAAGCTGGTGTCCATCTATACTTCGGCTTATGAGCTTCGGGATTATACGGTTGGTTTAAAAATCCATCATGTTTGGAATGTTTCAAAATAGAAGGATGATGATGTTTTCTGCTATATCTTACTGGCGAGGCAGACTTCGGTCTTGATTTTGGTTTAGTCATCGGTTCGGGTTCAGGATATCTATGAGCCATCCAATTACACTCCAGAAACGGTATCATTTTTCTTGCTTCTCTTAAATCAGGAGTAGATGTATAAAATTGTCCCAAAATAAACGCTCGGTTTTTGTTTTCGAACATGGTTCTTATTCTTTCTACTTCGCCTTTGGTTAGCTTGTCTTGAAGACTAGCTAGTTTACTAATAACATTTATGCGGGGCATAAGTCTGTTATCTGGTCTTAATGGGCATTTAGGCACTGGGCTCTTACAACGTTCATATTTTGTTTTTAGATTTTGTACATCACCATATTCATGGTATTTAATTTTATTCGTATGAAGTTCGGGATCACTTTTATATCTTTTAATGGTATTCAATTCAATCGGAGAGTGTAGAAATCTAAGATCATCGAAGCTTTCAAATTTTCTACAGAGCTTTCTTACTGCTCCGTTTTTAATTCTACTTAAATATTCGTAGCTACGATCGGGAGATGGAGATATAACTCTTCTCATGCATTCTCTCTCTCCTAAAATACATTTCATAGACGAAAAGCTTTTAGACGTATGTAAATTTGTTTTTTTTGTCCCAAGATGTATAACTGTGGAAGCAGATGAACTTGATTCACTAACATTTGTACCATTAGCCCAATCAGATACCATTTTTTTCTTGTCTTCGTTATCAGCTAAAACTAATAAATAATTTTTATCATAACATTTCGCAAAAGATTCTTCTTCAGATACATCTATGGAGTAGCAAGTTCTTGGCGAAACACTTTCGGAAGTATTTTTCTTACATTTTACTGATGCGACTGCTCCTAAAGTTTCTTTAGGTATCACCAAATTTCTAGAATGTTTTTTATTTTTTTTTTCCAATACTTCAATACTAATATTTTTTGAAATTTTTTTCTTTTCATTTTCACTTAGACATACTGAACCAATTGAATCAGCTTTTCTAAGGCCTTCTTCTTTATCTTTTTTTCTAACAGGTCCCATTGAACTTGACCTTACGTACAACGAAGTATTCAATTCTGATTTTTTCACTCTATCGTTTACTTCGATTTCATAATCGTTTCTCATTTTATTAGTTTGTAATGATCTTGGTATTCTTTCTCCTTTTATATCAGTTATTGTGCTATAAACTTCATTAAGTTGTGTTTTTAGTCGATTCAATTGTTCCATTGAAAGACTGCTCCATATTCGACAACCAATATTTGATGGACTTTTAGAACTTGATCTTCTAGGTATAGAAGTGCAGTTTCTTTCTCTATCTTCAGATACAGGGCGACCTCTTTTTGATGAAGTAATGTGTTCTAAAGATGTAGCTACATCTTGCACGGAAGTTCCTCTCCAAAGTGGTCGATATACATTTACTTCAGGCTTACGATAGTTGTCGATCCCAATTGCATGGAATTTTCGTTTTAAATCAATTACTGAAGACTCTTTATTTCTCAAACCACGATCTAAATTTTTTTTCCAGCGTATATCTTCTAGGTCTTTTGTCTTGTAAAGCACATCTTTAGATTTTTGAACATCTTCCAATTTTGCATGTAATGATTTTATTTCATTTTCCGCCCTTTCTTTTACTCGAATAGTCTTCCATTTATCATAGTCTATTAAGTCTCCTCTTGATCTCACTTTATTACTTGCTTTTTCGGCTGTTTTTTCTAACTCTCCCAATCTTTCCAAACTACAATAAAAATTATGCAATTCCTTAAAGCGCTCAGATTTTTTACTGGAGTGTCTTAGTTCCCTTACATAAGTTTGATATTCATAATCAACAGCAGCATTTTTTACCCGTTCAATAGGTTCTTCGGCACTTTTAGACCGTTGACATCGACGAACTCCAGTTACACTTTCAATTAATTTAACTGGAGCTTGAAAACTTTTAATACGACGAGAAGACGGAGATCGCGAGGGTGGTTCGCTGGCACTTCTACCTTTTAAATAATCTGTACTTTCATCGCCAAACTGATCCCAATCTGTTAACCCAGAACATTGGTATTTATCTAATGATTTAAATTTTGATTGAGATACTGGTTTTTTGCTTGTTAAGTATACATCTATTTTACTTTCTCTGCGTTTAATCACTCTAGGTTTTTCTTTGGTTTTAGTTGGATTTACTTTAGACATTTGTTTTTTAGTATCCTCAGTTAAAAGTAACTGTTGAAAAAATTCTTCTCCAAATTGATTTTGTTTTTCATTATTTTTTTCAGTTTTCTCACTTTTTGAATCTGATTTTGCCGATGTTTTGACAATTTCAATTTTTTTGGTAAGCCGTTTTCCACCGTTAGCTTTAACTAAATTATTTTTTGTCGATTTTTCTTTTGTAGCAGTTTTTTGAACAGCTTTGGAAATTGGAATGCTTCTTGACGGAGTTGACATTGATTTGGTTTTTTTAGACAATGATGTTTCAGAAGAATTTGTTGATGATGTACTGGACCTTGTAAGTGGCTTTCCTTTGGTTGATACTGCCATAGTAACTTTAAGAGACTTGTCTTTTTCTCTTTTAATGTCATTAGTATACATTTTTGAAGAACTTTTTAAACTCATACTTCTTGTTCTCTTATCTGTTTCTGTAGGTTTCAACTTACGAACTTTAAGTTCGACACTAGATTCTACGTCAACTTTTTTTGTCCATCGCTCAAGTCTAGAATTTTTACGAGATGATTCTCGCCGAGGAGGAGTAGGAGGTGATCCCGTAGAACTAGCTGATGATTTGGCTGTTCTTTTAAAATTTGAAAACACTGGATAACAAGTGACTTCTTTCCAAGGATGATGAATTACTTCATTATCGCATTTCATAATTTGAATTTTAGTTAAATGAGACGTAATTGGCAAGTACTCCAACTCCAAATCTATACATCAAATTTGATTATTTTAAACAACTATCCAGATGCTCCATGTTTGTGCAGTACAAGCGAATTATTAAATATTTGTTAGCCCATCATGAATCATTGCATTTCACTCAGCCATGTATTTCGTGCTTCCATTAATATTTGGCAATATTTCCCATAAAAAGTAGACCGTGCTTTTTTTTGTGCGCCCAATTTTTTTTTTTTTTTTATACCATTATTATTATCAATAATTGTAAAGGTGATTGGTGATTTATTTTTATTTTTAGTAGATAAATAATTTAAATTATAAAATTATTGATGCCGATAGTGTAAATAAAATTATGTATAGTAGTGCTCTTAATAATACCAGTCAATAATTTCTTCCCGTTTTATTATTTAACTGTTGTAAATAAAATTATAATTAGCAATATATTTTTTGTTTATCCTATTTATAGAACTACTAATTTATTTTATAATTAATAATGATTTTTTTTTCGTGTAAATTAGTTTACATCAATTTATTTAAATTAACCTAATATCAAAGTATGGACTAATATTATAATGTAGTATCTACAGTTTTGATTACTGTGCATAGTTTAAAAATAAAATAAAAACACCAGAAAAATATTGTTTTTTTCAATTTCTATATCGAGAAAACTAGATTGGAAATAAATGCAGTAGTATTTTACTATATACAATGTATAAGTAAAATAATGAAGTATAGTACTTAGTTATAGGGAATAGTTCAATTTTATAATAAAATTTGTTTCATATTACATTAATATTTACCGTAAATTACTTTTGCATTAAGATATAATGCATATCATGAATAATTTTATTCAAACTATTTGTTACTTATTGAATCTATGCATGCTTATATTTCTTTTACGTCGTGTTGGTAAATTTCGAAGGTGCACATTGGTGAATTATAAAATAATTCCAATAAATTTTATATTATTATTATTATTATTGTATTATTCTAACCTTTAGGTCTTTCAGGGAAATTTTTTCGTAGGCCTTGAAATGGTACTTCTCCACCGTTTTGTATTACTTTATACGCAGTTTTTTGTTCTGTTGGTGAAAGACATTGGGATTGAGTGTCCTGTCTTTTAAATATTAATGTGGAATCGCTATCATATCCAGTTTCTTTCAACGCTCTAAAAACAAATTTAATGAATTATAAACAAATTAACACTAATTTGGTTTTATATGAACAACTTACTGAGCCATATTTGATTTCTTTGATGAAGTACGGTTTTGAGGAAAGGGGATTTGAGATTCTGCATTCTATAAATGAGAAAAAATAAAAATTATACTAATATTTCGATGCCTTAGAATAATGAATAATAGAATAATATAATTAATATAACTCACCTCATCAAACGTATTAACTGCCTCTTCCCACCACTGTTTTGTTTCCTTTTCAGCAATCGAAGAATGTCCTGGTTCATAGTTTTCAATTGGTCTTGGTTGATTTTTGTATCGGTCCTGGCCACATTTTACCGGTGATGCTCTTCATAAATAATTAAATTTGAAAAATTTTAAGTATATAATTATGATATTCATTATATACACCAATATACTTACGACCTTCTAGTCGAGGAAACAATTTTTGAGTGATCACCATCCAAATTTTGAAATAGTCGGTTTTCTGCAAAATCTGAATCGTATCCCTTTTCGGGTTCAGATAAATATCCATCATTATTTCTAGCTCTTGAGTCTAAAATATGTAATTAAAGTTGATAAATTTACATTTAAATACATAAAAATATATATTCATACACTATATATATATATATATATAGCTATAAGCTATTTATATTGAATAAAAATTATGGTTAATAATGCATAATCATTGAACTGTTATAATATCATATTATAAAACAAGATACAATACTACTAAGATTTATTATTAATAATATATATTATGTTAGTTCTTGTAAATTTACATTTCGTAATAAAAATAACTAATATTTGTTTATTTTTATGCACTTAATTTAAATTTAAAATTTAAAATAGTATAAATTTAAAATGGTTAATCCTTATTCAGCAAACAACATAAAAGTTATAAATCTAGTTATTATAAAACTGAAAAAAATATAAAATCAATTTTAATATTGATGCAATTTTGCAATTGTTTAAAATAGCAGTTATTTATGTTTAATGTTATTATTTTAACTTAAGCTAAGCATTTTACTGTATAAAATCAGTCTTTTAAATTGAGATTGTATAGATTTATCACCTCGTTTTAATGTTTTGTATCGTACTGTTACACCTTCATCTGTAATATTATCAACTAATAGTTACATAAATGTTTATAATTTATTTTAGATAATTTTTTTTAACAATTACTAGTATAGTTTTGTTTATAACCCTTATATAAATACGGTTTTAAAATGTATTTATATTTATATCATGTTTTGAATAAAATTATAGTTCAAACAGTAAGTACCCACCATCTGATTGAAACTTATGTAAAGATTCGTACATTTGCTTGTACCATTTTGGTTGATTTGGTTCTTTAATTTCCTAAAAATAAATTACTAATTAAAATATTTTATTGGAATTTATATTAGTAATAAAATTATAAACATTCGACGTACCGATCTTAATACAATAGGAACTCCTTCTTTGGTTGTCGGACCGATGCCTTCATACTTTTTTGCAGTAATTTCAACCATTTTTTTTGGTTTTTTCTCGCTTGATTGATTGTCATATTCGCGCCTTGTCGTATATTCTAAACATAAATCACAAAAATCAATTATAAAGTCAAATAATAACACGGAGCTTGTATTTTTCTTAATCAAGTTTAGAAACATTTATTGTAGTAAATAATTTACATGAATACTAAATCGGTTTATTTATACTTGTGAATACTAATGAAACTTATCTTAATTATTCCACGTGACCACAGCTGATAAATAGGTTTTAATTTATCTAATGTTATGTTACTCAACGTATGAACACGTGAATGATAAAAATCAGCTTTTGACAATATTAAGCTAGATTTTTTAACTGTATGTTTTACACTTTTTAGTTTCAAGGGAATATCCATAGTAAGAAGCTAAACATGATTATTTTGTAGGTACTCACTTATTTCTTCAGTTTCAACATTTCGTTTGACAGTAGAACCTTTTATTTTATTTTCTTTGTTCATATTGTTTTCTTCTGACTCAAGATATGCAGAGCCTTTTGGTAATTGTCCTTCTATAAAGAAATATTATTATTTTTATAAGATTAAGTAATATTTTTTTTCTTCTCATAGCTTAATGGTTCATATAGGACCTGAGCTGCCAAAATCAATTCTCTTCATATTTCACTATTAAATGTTAGATCAACTAACAAATTTCTCCCCAACATTTTTATATCTTTCTCAACAACATCTTTCTATCTCGTACGCAGTCCACCCTATTGGTCTTTTCTTATGTTTGGTTTCAGTTAGTATATTTTTTTATGATGTCGTTATTAGTTCTCCGTACGTGCCCAAACCAATTCATTATTTATTTATTTATCATTATTAACTTTTATTTATGATTAAATATTGGGGTTGTCATAAATTTATATACGACATTATTTTTTTTTTTTTTTTTTTTGATTAAGAACTAGATTAAGATTAAATAAAAAATATTCTAATTTTTTTAAGTTCTTTATTATAGTAATATATGAATATTTTACTCCATCGTAGTGATCGTAAAATAAAAAAAAAAAAATTATACTTATTATTTAAGAGAGTAAACATGACACAAATTCCTCTCCTTTAAATTTCAAAACTAAAAATGGCCAAGTCATTTGATAATAAAGTGCATTTATTATATGTTTATTCAAATTAATTAGTTGATGAAATGTTACAACAACAAGAGTACAAATATTCTAAATATTATTTAAAGCTATATGAATATAAATTATAGAATTTATTTATGAAAGAATATACACATAATTCCTTAAGTTGAAATTTAGTGTAACTATCGTTAGTGGATCATTTGTGAAATTATTAAAATTTTAATGTATTGGTTAGTATAAAATAGTAATTAATATTAAAACCTTAAAATATACTTCATTGGCTTTTACAATTTCAATTATATTGTATCAATTTAATCATTTGCATGCATTTTTATACTTAAGTATTTTATATAATTAAAAGCAATTAAATGTCATTAATTTAAAACGTTCAGTTATTGTTTCATATATTTATCAGCAAATATTTTATGCAGTGAATACATTTTTATTAATCATGATCGTTTAATCAAGTAAATGTAGATAAATTTAACTAGAAATTCATTCACCCTAATCTTCATTTGAATACTGCGAAGTACTTTGAGCATAAAATGTATTAAAAGTAAGTATGAACAATTTTTTTTGTACTATTAAAAATAAAGATAGTGAAAATAATAAAAAAGTTGTGAATTTTGCGAATTATTTGTGTTCTAGTGCTATTCGTGAGTATAACTTTATCATAAGTATTTTATATTTTTCTTTAAGAAAGGATTGAGAAAGGATCCCATATTAAACATATTAAATTTTTAATATAATGTTAAAATAATAATATAATTAATTATTATGTTATTTATTATGTTTATTTTAATGTTAATGTTACTATTATCAATATTAATTACTCTAATTATACATATTAAACACTTAAATACAAAAGAGTAGGTAATTTTTGAAATTGTATAATTGTGTATAAAATATACTATCAAGAAAAATGTATAATAATGAAATATATTGTAATATATTGTTATAAATATTTGCTATACGTACATAAAATATTGATCATAGAAAAATATAAAGAAATCTCAAATAAAGAATAAAGAAATAAAATTAATAATAATAATAATTAATTTAATAATATAATGAAACTCAATTATTCAAATAAAGATGCAATTAAAAGCTATAGTATATTATGCTTAGGTCTATTTTTTTATACCACAAAAGAATAATTTTACTAATTCATAAGCTATAACTATTTTTCAACAAATATTTATATATACATAATTGATAATTTGTGAAATTCTGTAGCGATTTGAGTCAAACATTTTTTTACGTTGGCGTTATAAATTTATAAATGTGTTTATTTAAATATTATTTTGAATACCTCTTGCTTTCTGAAGGAGCGTAACAGTGGGGCTTTGAACTCTTGGAAGTTTCCTGTCGGTGATGTGAACATTTTCATCGCCTTTCACCAAAAGTGTGATAAAATTTAGTGCCAAGTGCAAGACAGGTTTAAAAAAGATGGATAAATATCAATAGCCTTACCTTTTATTGTTAATGGCAATGCAGGAGGAGGAGGAGGCGTTGGTGGACTTAATACCGGTAAATCTGTTGGGGGTTTCGGTGATGCCTACAATTCAAATTTTTTATAAAAGTTAATGCATTTAGTAGTTATTTAATAATTACTAATATTAATACTTTTTGGGTATCCAAGTTAAGTTTTTTTCGTGATAACGTCGGCGATTCAAACTTGATCGGTTTGTAAGTTTTTCTTTCCGGTGTTGGACTGGCATTGGGTGTCCATACTGGAGGCAGTTCAGATGGAGGCGATTTTTTTTCTACTCTTCGAGAAATATTCTCCAAGTCCAATGATTTATGTTTCAATTCCGGTGACCACACACCTGAACAAATACAATCATCCTTATTAGTGACACGATGTGGTCTTAAGACTAACACTAACAACGAAATGAATTCCAAAAAGTCACACACAATACACATGCTTTAGAGTTTGGTTTTGTAATAGCACTAGACTATTTTTTTGTATAATAAGATTGATCCATATACACACATTTACCATTTACATAATATAAAAATATTCAACTGAAATTGTACTCAATGCTAACACTGAAACATATGGTCTTTACGTGTACACCAAACTTGAATGGTTGAGTCGCAGGTGTGTTTTAATTTTTATTTGCATTCTAAATTAATATTTTGTTCAATATTTGTACATTGAAAATTGTATTAAAAAGTGTAACCTAACAAAAATTTAAATTACTTCAATCATTATTCAATAATTATAATTATGATACATTATTATAAATATATAATATATTCTAGATGTAAGTTTATTAATATTTATAAAGGAAAAAATGGAACAAACATAAGTAGATAACTTTAAACTAACATCTACATCGTGATTAGATAAATATATTTTATCATATTATATATTTATTTATGTATATTTTTGGTAACGCTAAACTGACATATGTTTTCCCTTTAATTCAAATATGTTTTTCATTTTTCAAAAACGTTAGTATATAGATTGATAGTCTGATTTATATATGTGTTTATGTATTTTTATATATAAAAACACCCACACCACACATAGGTGCACGTTGCACGTATTATACTAATCTAGAGCCAAAATGCGCACGAGGAAAAAATGATTCAGACGAATGGACAGACGAACTGAAAAAAGAAACATATATTGGCAAATGGTCAAACTCATCTGTGCCAGATGTTGAAGTAAATTAAAAACAAATATTTCTACCAAGATGAACCTATAATGATGAAATTATTATTATCATGTGATAATTTTCAAGTGTTGTTTATTCTAAAATTGGGTCAAAAAAAATTTGGAAATGACGTTCGACCCTAGAAGAAAAAAATCAAAACAAACGGAAGTTAATGTAACATGATTATTGATGATTTGATTTTCTGGCACTAGTTCTCTTATTTGGCATGCGTATGAGCGTTTTCATGGTTTTATATATTTATGTAATTTATTCTTACAAAATTATTTTAAAGAGAACTGAAATATTGTGACAAATATCTAATACATCAATACATATGGATTAAATGTTATAAAAAAAATTAATTATTGTTTTTACATAAAAAAATTCAATTGCATAATCCATGATTGATGAATGATAACCTCCAAAGTAGAATTATAAATTATGCTTATTAAAATTAAAAAATTTCAAATTAATGATAATAATCAAATGATTTTTTAATTACATTAAGTGGTTCAATTTTTTTATTTCAAATTTGGACTTAAAACGATATATACAAATACATTTACACATTTATTTATATATATAGATAGATAGATAGATATTTAGATAAAAAAATAAGTTTACAAGAATAGTTCATCTGAATTAAAAATATTGAAAGAGTAAATTTAGAATAAGAACTTAAAGAAAATAAGTAATATATTAAAATTTGATAACATAACGTATTAAAATGATGGTCGTAAATAGAACTATTGTATAAAACAAATATGTTATGTATTTATTCGTGTTATGAATTTTGAATAAATAAAATAAAAACATGTAAATAAAAAACCATAAATGTAAATTAAAAATACAGATGATAAATTAATTGTGTTATATTTTACAATCGTATAATAAAACAAAACAAAATAAAATGATTTCATATTGAAGTTTTAATTTGAAACAGTTAAATTTAGGTTATTACATTTAAAATAAAACGTTCGATTTTAAAAGTATTTAATTAATTTATAATTTTTTAATTTTTAAGATATTAATAAAATAGAGACTATAGTAAAATTAGTAAATATAATATAAAAATAATACTACTAACGTTAATTTTATAATTATTTTTTTTTATTTGATTAAAATAACATATTTAAATTTTTTTTTATTATTATAGCTTAAATTTTTTCAAATATATTAACAGACATGCACACTACAACTACATGTTCAATTTATTTCAATTTTTTTTATTAATATTGTTAAAATTATATCTAAATTAATAATAATAAAAATTAATATGACAATAGTAAAAAAATATGATTGTATTAACATTATAAATACGATTCATTTGACGTTTATAATCATACTTATAAACATTACTATAATTTTTTTATTTTGAAAGCATATTATGTGAATTTATTATTTAAGTATAGTTATAAAAAAAAAAAAAAAACTATAAAATTGTGAAAATGGTACTCTAAGTTGCGTACATAAAAATAATTGTTTTTAACACTTATTTTTATGTGATTGTGTTCCAAATTTTTCATTAATATTGAAATACGTTGAAAGTATAACAATATAGAAGAAATTGCAAAATATTGTGATATTTTGAACAATTAATTTAGTTTTGTTATATTAGTTATCTAAAAGTATATAATTATTCAGTTTAAATTGTCAAATGCTTTGATATAAAATTGATATTATGTTAAGCCTACAAGTTTAATAGTTTTAAACGATCATACCTGCTTTTTTAGTGTCAGCTCTGAACTGTGGAGTAATTTTACTTTTATCTCGCATCATATATTCATTAATTTAAATACTTATACTAAAAATAAATATTAACTGAAGTTATATTAATATGAAATAAACAACCGGAAACGAAACTTTTCGATTTGCAACGACTGTTTTAGTTTTTGCCACGCGCGCGATTCGGCGTCGGTTTGAATAGTGTACGCATTACTGTTTTTTTGAATACCGCGGGAAATCTCTCTCTCTCTCTCTCTCTCTCCCAACTACTACTACTACTACTACTAGTGGGAGAAAAATGAACATAAAAATATACGGTTTAAATAAAAAAATTTAAAAAAAAATATTGGCTAATGATCTCTGAAACTCAACGTTGGCCGACTTTCTGGCGGCACCTGTTTTATTATTAGATTTACCGGAGGGCTTAATATACAATTTTGTTTTTAATTATTTACACGGTATTAATATACATTTTTTTTGGATAAATAATATGATTTGAATGATTCAATAAATCGTTAATTTTTCTAATAGTTTAAAAATTATAGTTTTTAATGTCACCGAAAAATTGATTTAAATTTAATTTTAAGTATTTAAAATATAAAATATAACATTACTTGTTTATTTAAATTATTATTTTATTTTTATTTAATTACATATTATTTTTTAATATACAATTAGGCTTAAAACAAATTTGATTTATATATAAATATATAATAATATCTAAAAAAATATGTAAAAATATATGTACTAAACATATATATTATACTATATTATACTTATATGCGCAATTAGTCGGGGCGGGGGGCTTAGTCTTCTAAATATTTATCTATCCTACATATTATACATACAGATATAAATTAAAATGTAAGAATATTTTACCAAAGTGATAGCAAAAAACAAAATTAGTCCCTCCAAAAATAAAACCCTAGATGCACCTATGATTGTATTGAATGAAAATGCATATTCAATTCAAAAGATTTATGTAACTGAAATTTAATATAATTTAATTTCAATATTTAAATAATAAAATTAATTAATTAACTAATGCATTATATACAATAGGATTTTAACAATATTATTTTGAATATTAAAAATATTACAAAATGTGTCACTAAATATTATTGTATTAATGATACTGATATGTAAGTAAAATACTTTACATTGTTAAACCATTAAATTAATATATTTGTATGATATTTATTCATTGCAGATTAATTAATATTAATATAGAGCTTATCAATACTCATATTGCATTTTTATAACATATAATTGTTTACGCTTGTGTTTAATACACTATATATTGAATATATTTTATTTTTCTAAAATACTGAACGTTTTATTAAGTTGAATTAACAAATAAATAAATTTCATAGAAAAATAAATATTTTTAAGTAAATTAAATTATTGATTGCTGTAAATGATAAATTAGTCAATTTATTTACTATGATAAAAATAATGTTTATTTGGACTAATCACAAGACGCTACGAGTACATGCGCATTAATGCAAAACAGTGTACATACATAAGCATATCAACCAACCTATATTTTTCCTAGTCAAATATCCGCCAAATACTTGATCGATTTCATCAAGAAGTGAACAATCAGATATCCTTCGTTTTAATAATTTGTTATTTGTTCTAACTAAACGTAAAACACACAATTTAAAAAATACTAAAAAATCATTGAATTATTTCGATTCGGTATTGATTTCAGTATAACAATATTATTTCAGAGGTCTTATAAATTTGATGGTTAAATATAAATCAATTTTTTTTTTTGTTTTTCTCAATATTATAAAACTATTGCCCATACTCATAAGTCTATTTTGTTATTCCGCCGTATGCAGAAAAATCGTGTAGGGTTTCGTCTCACCTCTCTACTCTGTTTTAATTATAGAATCAGAATTTGGTCTGTCCAGTCGTCCGATGTGTCGTATACCATTTATAAAAATAGTGCCACCGAGTTTTGTGTGTGTTCGTATGCATGTATACATGTCTCGAACAAATTGTATCGGCATCAACCGTTCACACAGCTGACACTACGTCTATGAAAACAAAAATCACTCTAAGGTGTTCATAATGATGGACATTTGCAGCTTATTTTAGAAACTTCTTCTGGTGATTCGTATTGAAGCAACGTAATTAGACTTGGCCACACTGCAAAACCCATGTTAGTAAAACAAAATAAAACAAAAACGTACACACTCAATCCACTTGACTCACCATTCATTTGCACTTCTTCAATGCAAACTTCTTCTTCAGGCACAATATCCACCAAGTGCCTTGGATAATATTCTTCTTTCACTTCTATATGCACATCTGGCTCGACGCCCAATTTTTCTAATCTCTCACGAGCTTTAGTTACAAATTCTACGTCAATGTCGTTTAATGCTTGTAAACTTCCCGACGATAGTGGTCTACAAGCCTTCGTTATTCTAATAACTTTATTGTGAAGTCTATCTTCTCTTTCCTTCACTTTTTCCATGTACTCCGTATACATGCGTTCCCTGGTTTGGTTGTCGGGAACCGACAGTGTGTCAATAAACGTAGGCATTGATGACGGTCGATCGATGACTGATCGATTAAGATGTTGCTCTTTTTGGATTACATCCAATAACCTAGATCGAGTTTCTCGATACTTGCGCAAAGACACTAGACATTCAGCATCAGATAACGGTTCGTCACTAGTACCACACATTCGACATGCCTCATCAACAACTTCGGAACTGTATGATTTTGATGGGGATGGTGATGGCGAATCGCTATAACTTAAAATTTCTACAGCCATATTGTCTTGGTACGGAGAAAAATTTGGACTTTTTGTTCTTTTTAGAAATTTTTTGTGGAGATCAATAATTTCAGATGTTTCGGACACAGTGGACGGTGCATAACCCGATTTCGCTTGACTAGGTGACAGACATAAAGACTTAGCTGACTCGCCATCAGATAATGTAAAACTTATCCAATCGGAGTCCATTTCAGAGTCAGAAGCTATCGAGACACATCTAGAAGTAGTTTGTGGTGATTGTATTTCTTCATAATCGTCCGTATCGTCCTGAAGTAATCTTGCTATTTGTTTTAATTTATCGTAAATTGAAACTTTATTTTGACTGCGTGTTTTATATTTATGATTTTGAGTCACATATTGTTTTACGGTACTATCATCCGAAGAATTTTCGTGCTCTGTATTTTCATGGTGGACAACTTCAGTTGTTTTTAAATAATGTTTACTTTTTGAAAATACACTATACTTCTTAAAACTTGGCTTGTGTGAAAGTTCAGTAGAAGTTGAATAGTTAGTAAGTTGACCTTTTTTATTTGAAGCATCGAAGTTACTAAGTTGATTATTATTACATTGCACTGTTTTAAGACTTTTATCGTAATATATATCCTCATAAGGACTCTCTTCGAATGAATCTGTGTAAAGTATTGTATCACTTGTCAACTGATTTTGTTCGCGACTACAATTTATTAGTAAATTATTATTTAATGTTTGGCACATATTCTTATTTTGTTCTAGTTTGTCGTTAATTTTTACATTGTCAGCCACGTAATTTTTTGTTATATTTTTTTCATCATTAAAATTATTAATTAAAGTAGCATCAGTGCATTCATTAGTTTCTAATGTTTTTACATTTTCGACATCAAACGATAAATCTTTTAATGGTTCAAGTGTTTCTAGTTCAATCACACATTCATTTTCAGTTGACACAATATCTGCGAACCTAAGAATTTCCGACTCTCTAACTAAAGATGGGGATTCTAATCTTGAGAGATTACATTCTGAAATTACGGATTCATTTAAATTAGCTTTTGAAATACGGTTTAATTCAATGTTGTTGTCTTCGGCAACATCTGAACTTTCCCAGTCATACGGTATTGTTATAACATTATTTGTCTCTACATTTTTATCTGAACATTCCCGATTTTCTTTTTTGAGATCTTCTTCGCTAGCACTAGCTTCCTCTTTTATTACATCTAAATGGCAAAAATCTGGAACGATTTGACAATACTCTGGCATTGAAGGTGTAATTTTTTCGACTCTAACTACCACTTGTATTGGTAAACCAGCTTGCCGTCGTGTTTCCAGCTCGGCTATTAAAAGTGCTTCATTACGTTTAATCCATTCTAATTCGTCTACTCGTAAATCTGAATTTGCTTCTATTATTTCTATTTTTGGATTTTCTATCACTTGCGTTTGTTCTTGTTTTTGTTCAGTTATTTTAACTGGTACATTTTTTGATTGTTCGTCTACTAATTGTTCTGCAGATGATTCTGCGGATTTCTTTTTCCTCCTACGTTTTCGAATTCTTTTACCTATGGGCAATTATATATTTTGGGCTATTTTTATAATTCTAAATCTTGAGGACTATGGAAATAATTTTTAACCCAGTATTTAATTAAATAATTATGCTTAACTTGACATTCAAAAATATTGATTATATTACGTAAAAATTATATTAACATGAATGGTACGCTTTAACATTTACAGTTATTTAAAAATAATCCTACTAGATTTATAAGATTAACAAATAATTGTAAATTATAATTGTTCTAATAAAAGTGCATTTGAAATAATTGCATAAATAAATAATATTTATAGTGATAAAAAATAATATTTGAAATTTGTTTAGGTACTCATTTTTTTTGTTCGTTGTTTCTGTGTCCGCCGATTTTGGTTTTCCACTTTTATCAACACATGCTTTAGCTTCTGTAACCAAGCCCAGCATTAATTTTAATACATGAATATCGGTAAAAGTAATCACAAAAAGAAAAAAAAATATTATAATATCAACGTAAATTGTAGGACTATATAAAATGGTTAGTAAGTTATGTTTGTTCAATGGTGTTCAGCATCATCGACTGACTATATGGTAGATCCGCTGCGTGAGCACAGATCGGATAGGGCACACCCGAATAGAGGAAGTAACATATAACATCCAAAACCGGAGATGGGTACACTGCGCCACACACTAACTCATTATACATAAACTCACACACATACAATAGTCATTAATGTATATGTAGATGCACTTATGTGTACCAATGTTTTTGTCAGTAACACATGCGTACAATGAAATGAATGACAGACGAATAGATACAGGTCAACGGAACTGTGCATATGGGGTGGTTAATATATTTGATAGGATTTCCTATTCTTATAGTTGTATATTATAAATACGATTCTGTTATTTAAACTAGAAAACATTATGATTATGTATATAGTTCTATAAACTTATAAAATATAATAATTTAATTTGTGAATTGTGTATAAATATTCACAGAGTAATACATATTTATATAAGAATACATGTTGTATAATATTATGAGAACTACCTACCTTTTATATTATTCCATGTAATAGCTAACGATTTCCTATTCATATCGACGTAATAACGTTTTTTTCAGATTATTATATATTATGATTATTAAAATAATGAATTAAAAATATAATTATTATTATTTGTTTAATCAGACGCATTGTATAGTTCATTTTTAAACAATATTAAATAAATTTACACATTAGCGTACCTATTTTAGATTTATAACTTTTATGTACATGTACTGTTGAGACTAATCATGCAATTATGGACAGGATGGGTGTAGTTCCTGTGGGTGGAGTGACGTACAAGGCCTATTTTTATATCCAGGCTTAGTGGCTTACACAGTTACACATAATATCGCAAAGTCCTTAATTAAAAGCAAAACTTAAATTCATATGTGATGCAATAAAAAAAAGAGTACAACAGTAATAACTATAGAATAAATATACAATAATTCAATTTATTATAATTACACCTGATAAACCATATACAAGAAAAAAATTTCAGAAAATATTCGTTTTTTATTATGACAAAACATAAAAGTGTTATATCTATGAAAAAAAGTATATCTATCGTACAGCAGAAACAAGAATGTAATTTTAATTATTTTGCCCGCTCATTCGCACTATAATTCTTAAATTAAAATATTTTACACGATCAAACAATCTAGAATGAAATACATGTAGTTTAAAATAAGACTATGTAGCTATATTTTTAATATAACCCATGAGGGCCAAAATTTAATAAAAAGAATTAAGAATCTATCAAAAATTTTAAAAATTTGGACATATATGTACCATATGTTATGAGATTTTTTTAATTACTGTCGTGTTTTATTTATTAATAATACGAACATGGTATACAATTATCACACTGCAAACAAGAGTTTTATCTTTTGATATTGGAAATAATTTATCGTATAAACATATTACTGTGGAAAAGGAAAAAAGAAATTATAAATAGTACTTTTCTTTCTCTTTTTTTCTTTTTTTAATGATTTATTTATATAATATACTTTTAAATTTGGTTATTTTTAAATAAATATGGATTGAATTGGGTACACTTTTATCGGTAATAAACAGTAAGCAAAAAATTTGAATAGATTTGAATTAAAAAAAGTATTGTTTTTATGTGTAAATATATATATATATATATAAATTCTGATGTATTCCATTAAATATAAATATAAGGTTTAGATTAGCAAAATGAGATAAATTTTTAAACCTACTATTTATTAATTGTTCGTAATATTTTTTGATGATGTGTGAAAATGTAAAATATATATGAATGTACAAAATATGATGTATAAAATGTAGGCACATTTTGTATTTTACCAATTATATTTTTGTTTTTAACATAAAAACCATCAGTTAGGAATAAGTGAAAAACTGCTCACAAATATGCAGACAACTTTTTCTTTAAACAATTATTTTCAAAAACGTTTATTAAATTTGTGACTAACAATTGGAAACATTAAAACATTTTTTAAAAGTGTAATAAAAGTTTACAAAATTGAATTTGTTTATTTTTTTTGATTTTAAAAATGTCTTACCTCTTTTCGTTCTAAGCTTATTAGGCCTATGGTATTTATCTTTCAACCTGGACTTTGTACTTTTGAGTTCTGGCATTGTAGTATTCGTATTGACAGGACAAAGCAAATAGAAATGATCAACACACCAATATCTAAATGCAAATCGCATATTCGCGTATGTTATTGGAGCATATACACTAAAGCAAACTGTTCACTTTCATTGGTAAAGATTATCTGAAGGAGCATAATAGTGCTTGAGAAATACTATCTTCGGTGGGGTGTTACGGTCGACTGGACTGTCGATGATACAGTAAAAGACTTGTCGAAAATTCGGCCAAACTGATATTAGACAAGGATGATTTTTTTCTCAAGTACCTAATACTTAAAAATACATTTATGGCCTACATATTTAGGCTATTGAAAAAAAAGAATAATTATATTCTATTGTATTATTAAATAGAAATCAATTCAGAGGTAAAAATAATGAAAAAATAAATACTATCTTACGCCAAATTTTAATTTTCTAATTTTTTTAATAATTTTTTAAATGTATGATTTTTAAAATTTAAGAAAATATATTGGTTACGTTTAATAAACACATTATATTATTCTTTTTTTTTTTAACAACATTTTATGACAAAAGTAAAGTTATTATAAATACCTATGATAATTACTTGCCTAAGAAAATTGTAGTTACATTTATTTCCTTAATTCAATAACATTTCTTTAATTACAATATTTAGTAGATTTATCATGAGTAAATATTCAAATTATTTTTAAGTACATTTTCATACTAAAAAAACTAACATTATTCATCTCAAAGTCAGGTTGTACATAATAATTTATTGTTGTTTATTTTTAATTAAAATGTATTTATAGAAAAAATAACTTAATGAAGTTGAATGCAATCGTCTATTTTTAAAAGTTTACTAAAATACGTGTGAAGTATATACAACGATAATATGTAAAACATAATCATGTGAAAGATTATTTTAAATTTAAATTTTGGAGATTGATCAATTAGTCAGGTATTTGTTTAGCATAATACATAGCAATAAATAATAACATAAATCAAAAAATCTTACCAGCCTCGTGTTCCAGGTCATTTTGGACCGAATTATTAGTTTTGGATGGTCTGTAAAATAACATAAAATTAAATTAAATTGGAATAGTTTCGAGTTTGAACATATTTAAACTATAAGTTACAAAATCAATTAAATTAATAATATTTTTAATCTCTATTGGTAGGCATAATGTAAATATTGAATTAGCAAAATTTAGTTCAATGTCATATACATTCGTTACATTTCAAAATGTGTCATGGGATATTATTTTTTTTTTTTAACACGCATGTATATTTTTAATACGGTAAATAATGACGATATTTCACATGGAAAAAGCCTGGTGCATGAATAAAAAGTGATCACTGCACCGTACATCCTCGTTTCCAATCGGATTTCAGTAAAGTATATATTATGTAAATACTATAGAAGTGTATTTATGTTTGAAAATCTAATACACAAATAGTCACCAATCAATTGAAATATAATTGCATTTCTCATAATGGACTGTGAAATAAATTGTACATTTTTAAATTAGTTAAATTATTATTAAACAAATTATCATTCCTCGATCATTTACAAATAACATAGAGTGTATATATGAGTCATATTTTTATGCTGAAGATTGTTTGTATAAAACTGAAAATATATTTTTGGAGGTTAAAAATGTTGTGTCATAATATTCAATAAAATGTAGATGTATTACATTGGTTCGGAGTTATAATAATTAAGTATACTGATATTCTCATTTCATCAATTTTGATTTTCAAAAAATATTTGGATTAAGAAAAGGAATAGAAATGTATATTTGGATATAAAATATAAATTATATTTTTATATTTTTTTGTTTATCAGTTCCATAAAATATTTTTCCAAAAATAACAATGGATAACATTAAATATTGTGCTAAATATTATTTATATATTTTTAATGATCGGAGTTATTTATATATATATATATATATATATATATATATATATATATATATAAATACGGATATATACATATGTTGTCAACTTAAGAAGAAAACTGAAAAATTATTGATAAAAAATACAATTTATTAGCTAAAATTCAGATAGCTTTGATTTTAAATATTTCAGCAATATTATTTTGAAAAACACATTCATTTTTATAAAACAAGTGTTTAAAAATAGCATTATCATTCAAATTCAACTCTTTTCAGTTTGAATATTTTTACAATAATAAATAACTAAAATATAATTTAGTTAACTTTAATATGTATAGATATCACTTAGTATTTTTAAATTTTAACTTACATTGATGTATTTTATAACATTTATTAAATAAATGAAGATTTTATTGGAAAAAATCATGGAGCACATCCAAATCAGTTGCATATATAATCAATAATATTTATTCACTACTAGAACTACCTATCGGACGTTAATTTAATATTAAAAAATATTCGAAAACATCACTACTTATGAATGCATACCAGCGTGTTTATAGACATTTATTTATGCATAACCGTTATTATGTATGTATGCATATTGCACATGCACAAGAAATATAAAAAGTTTAAATTCCATTCCGTTTTAAAAAAATTCACTAAAAAAATTATTTTTTTATGTTTTCTTATTTATATTTTGTAGTATTTATCACGATATTATAATTACACAATAATGGTATCGTGTATTAGTAATAACAAGTTATGAATCTATCAATGTATTAATATTTGATTTTTTTCTATGTACAAAAGATCAAAAAGTTTCTTAAAATAAGTCTCTAAAATAGTAGAATAATTGAATTAAATAAATACAGATTGTGCTACAAACATAAACATTTTCTTCGTACTTTAACCATCATAGTTTTAACAAACAAAAACATGCATATTTTTTTTTATTCAGTTTCTTTCGTCCAGATTCAGATTTCAATAAAAGTCAAATTTTTATTGGTTTATCATGTAAGATGTTGATGAAAAATTAAACAATTACAAATTAAAAATTATTTTTCAATTAAATTTAAAATTAAATTATTTTTTTTAGTTATTTTATATACTTTATTTTAAAAACATATTTACAAAATAACTCATAGTATAATAAAGTAAATGAAAAAATGATTTTTAGAACTTAAAGACCTACAACTGATATAATCGTAAGGGTAATCTATTTGTTTTTTTATAATTAATACACACGTATATTTGAAATGTCATAATTTTTATATTGAACACTTGTACTTTGTTTACCTTTTAATAATATGTAAATTTCAATGGCTTTAAAAGTTGAATGTCGTGTTTAGGGTCAAAAAGGCGTGCCTCGCTGAACCACAGAGATTTATCATAATTATAGTGATTTTATTGTAGTGCACAGGATGGGCGTGGGGTTTAACCGTCCAGAACATGCTTGGTTGACACCCAAAATAATTTTTTTGAATTTTAACCTGTTGAAGGTATTGAAAATAACTGTTGCAAAATAATTTAATAATAAAATTAAATATATATATATATATATATATAATTTGAAATAAATAGAATTAAAATTATTTCCTAACAATCTTATATTATTTTGATTAAAATACCAGGATAAGTATTAATATAAGCATTTAAACCTCAAAAAAAAAAAAAGAAAATTATAAAAAAAAATATTAATTAAAATGTTGTTATATATAGAGTTAGATATAATGGTATTTTATTAGATATGTACCATACTATATAATCTTATAAATGTATAGTCTACAATTCGATCTCCTGTTTTTAAACTTTTTATATTTATACATAGATTAAGATTAAGATTACGAAAATACCATAGATAATAGAAAACTCTTATTATCTATGGAAAATACAGAAACTTGATCTATTTTTTCAAATATATATAGGTATATATTTATATATTTAGTTAAATTGTATATTTTATTATAACATTATAATTCGAATTTTGAACCATGCAACTAGTTTTACAATGAAATTAATTTATGTTTCTTCAAACAATATGTCATATCAATCAATATGTCATAACTTCAATATATAGATAGATATAGGTGTTGTGTTATAATTACATTATAATCTAAGCTCCATTTATAATCATTTGGTTTTTTAACACTTGTAAATTAACATTTATAGTTTAATATGAAACTCTATAGTATATAATATTTAGTTTGTTTACCATTATTATGTTCCATAAATATAAAAATGAAAATATTATTTTAATTTTTACTCAAATTATTATACATAAATAATTACTACTGTCTATGTGTTGGTTTAATATATGAAAAACTCAAAAAATTGTATTCTGTAGCCTTTTTTTAATGTTCAGTTTTTATTATTGGAAAAAAATATAATAGTTCTATAACAAGGATTTTAGAATACAATATAAAGAATAATTCAATTCAATTAATTCATTATTTATTTATTTATTGTACGACAAATTAAATTAATAATTATACACATCTTAACAATAAAGTTATTATTAAAATGTGTATAATCATAATACTTAATCAATCATGAAGTAACTTAATTTTGTAATTAATAATTTATTCTAAATTTTCTATATTTCTTTAGAAAAAAAAAACGGTCAACTTACATTGTGATAAGTAATAACTATGTTTAAATGCAACTTATGTTGTATTAGTACGTTTTTCAGGGGCAAAATGTTTTAATCGACATTATTTCACGACTGCATTGCATGACAATTACCAATATATTTTTACCATTATTTTATTTATTTTTTTGATTGTTTTAAACTTTAAAAAATATCATTGTGATCTTGTGTTATATTTTTAGTTTTAGATTGAAAATAAACATATTTTTACAATGTTATTTTATGAAAAATAGTTTATAATAGTATCAAATTAAATATTCATAATCATTTGCACTATAAACTAATTTCTTTAAACTATTGAATTAAAAATAATTTAATTTTAATATGTACAAAAAGTCAAACTAACTCTTATGACTGATTAGATTTACTTTATTTCAATTATTACTACTTATGAGTAGCATATTTTTAGTACAAATTATCAAACAGTTAAATTACACTGGTATAATATATGGCAGAGGTGAATAATAGATCGATCACGATATGAGTTGCATTCCCGTTCATTTTTTCATTAGAAAATAAATAAAATATTTATTACACTTTGTAAGTATTTATATCTTTGTTCAATCCACGAATATAAAAATTAACAAAGTCAATATATATATAGTATAGTATATAGAAATAAATAATTATAAAAAACGAAGTTATATGCTAAAATGTGGTAGCTATGTAGGTATATTTTATGTAATCTAATGGATATATTGTATTAAAGAACGGTCTTTATCACATATAAATTGATAAAAACATATTGAAATACGTGATATAAAAAATTAAAAGTTATTATTATTTATTAATATTTTAAATAGGAGAAATAAATTATGTGTAATATGCATGTATTTAAAATATATGTTCGTTCAGTAACAACCAACCTTTTTTTTTTTTGTCGGTCGTGACAACTTTGGAAACTCAGAAGTAGATCACAAATCTATAAAAGTTGGCCACCCCTGATGTATAGAGTATTCTACGTATATAAATAATATAAACAAAACATATCTTTTTTATTTGTTTTAAAACCATATAATTATATGATTAACGAACTAAAATCAAAAATATGTAATATTCATGTTACAAACCGATAAACGCCAATGGTTAACGTGTCTCCACAATTTTTAATTAAAGTTTGAGCTTCATTTGATGTGAGATGATCAACAGATGCTGCATTTATCGATTCGATTAAGAATCCTTCTCGTACACCAGATTTTGCCGCTTTCCCAGCATTATTCACCTTAAAAAAAAAATCATCATCAAGTAATTATATAGAGCAGATGTATAATTTACATATACTATTTATATACAATTTGTTGTGTACTAATCGGTTGCGTTTTTTAACACTAGATTACTCCTTTACACCCAAATAAGCACTTTCATCATTCTTGTAAATAATAACATTACATTTTCATTTAAATAAAGCGTACGTAATATCCAATAGGTAGTTAGGTTAGATTAGCCTAACCTATTAGATACTACATATGTATATAAATAATATAACATAAATAATAAGACATAAATATAAAATAATTTAAAATTTTCAATCTACTAACATAGTAATAAATGTAACTATATGACCTATTGTACAGTTTTGATACTAGATTTTATAAATATAAAATTAAAGAAAATAACACCATTCTCGACAGAATGAAAATTAAATAATGTTTTTACATAAAAAAAACACATGAATAAAATGTATACAAATCTAACTTGTTCTTTTTTGTACTGAAATTTGAGCATCGTATGTATGTATTTTCTATACCACCAAAAAATGTACCTACAATAGTGCACCGTTATTCAATTTACGAGTTTATTTTTATGGATGATGTAATTCAATCAAACAACAATGAGAGAGAAAAAATACAGTTAATTCAAAACTCGGATGATCAATTTTTTTAAAACTGTCGACAGAGATAGAACGGAACTAAATGACTGTTACTATAGCACTTAATAATAGCAGCTCTGGTATAATAATCAAATGTGTTCAATACTATGACATTTGACAGATTCCAGAAAACGCCCTACTTGAACAGTTTCAGAATAGCAGTCTTATCTGCACATGCATTTGAAAATCACAAATAAAATTAGACTAGTTATTTTAAATATTTTAAATGAGTCAGACTTTTTCGGAATAGATAATATTATTATAAATGTAATTTTATTTTTATATGTATTGAACCGTTATTTTGTATGCTAATAAATACCATTAATATAATTTAAATATATGGTACATGGTTTATTTAAAAAATAAAATTATGTTTTGCCAAAGAATAACAATACTTTATATTCACTTGAGAAAACAAACATTTATATGTAATAAATATATTTGAGTTTAATTAAAAAAATATTGAAATCGAAACCAACTAATTTCAATTAAAATATTAATATATAAGCATCATCTAAATTATATAACTCATAAAAAATAACTGAAGCGTACTCTTGCTACAACGTAAGCATAGTTTTAACTTTAAGGACGACAGAAATCACCCACCCCCGAGACTCCAAAAATGCATTTTTTTTTTATTATTTAAGTACTACAAATAATAACTACTATAGAAGTATATATATATATACAGTGGCGTACTCATAGGTGGGGTTCATGGGGTTTGACCCCCCCCCCCATTTATCGTATTATTTTTAAAATTATTCCAATAGTTAATAATAATTGATTATTGATTTTATTGATTATAATTTAGTGGTTTATACGTCATTAGTTACCAGTATCACGGTTACCTAATTGGATTGGAGCACGATCATAGAACATGTTCTATGACGCGACCGTGCTATCAATTTAACAATTTGGTGACATTTTTCGATAATGTGGTTTTTTAAAATAGTACAAAATTTGTAATTATTATGACTATGGGGGATGTGGGGCAGAGCCCCTCCACTTTAGTATTCTAGTAAATTTTTAAAGCCCTCCCCCCATTGAAAATTCCTGGGAACGCCACTGTATATATATATATATATATATATATAATTTTGTACTCTTGTAAAATTAATATTGTATCACAACTTTGGTTCCATTCTTCTACATAAAACATTAATTGTGTTTAATATGATGTGTTAAAAATACAATTATAATTAGACTCAAGTACGTACTTGTGTACGAAACAATTAATTTTACGTTTTTAAACATAATTTATTTTTGGATATTAATTAATTTGTAATTTTTATTATTTCGTTTAATATTTTAAATTTATACCTTTTAAATACGTTGTAATGTGTTGTGTGATATTTAAAGTTTGTTTAACAATAAACATTGAACACTAATAAGAACACCTCATATTTTTAATTTACGAAAACTTAGAAATTATATCACGTAAATAAAATTATATTTTTTCAAGTAACACCTATGAAATATTAACATTAACACACTGTTATAACCTAAGGTTATACTAAGTTGTAATCTAGTAACGACGTTAAAACAAAACGTTAGTATTTACATTAGAAGTACCATTTGAGGGAGCAAAGTGTACGTCTAAACTTAAATATAATTTTCTTGGAAAATTTTTTGGTGTTTAATGGGGCGGCAAATTATTGAGCATCAACATAAAATAAAAACCATATAATTAAAATTTTTCTTGTATCACTGTATAACTATAATTTATTTTACTCGTAAATACCACTAAAAAGCAGCAGTCTACAGCTGCATATCACAAGGCGATGAGAACTTGTACTGTAATCGTCCAAACTATTTTCGTTATTCCTGTACGTTTTTTTTCCCCGAAAATAGTCGCAAGTATATCGCTATATTTTATCTCGGCACATTGCACTGTTAGATGTGTAAAATATCTTTTAAATTTGACTTTTTTTTTTTCTACAGTTAAAATATTAATTTTCTTAAGGAAGGCATATTTTAATTTACCTCGGGGCGACAACATAACTTAACGCGGCACTGAATAGAGGTATAATGCAATACAATAAAAATCGTCGATATTCGAGCCATTGAGAGTCTACGCCAGTATTTTTCAATGTTTGTATTATGACGACCCTTCATTAAAATATTTTATACTTTAATTAGATCAAACAAAAATCTTATTCGATATAATATCTACTTGTGTATTAATATTTAATTTTAATAAGAAGTATGTAAATAAATCAGAATTCATAAAGTCATAAGTGTTAAACGATAATACGTAGCATATATTTTGACATGCTTCGTTATATCAAATAACAATTCATATTTATTGTCATTTAACATACGTTGCGACACACTTGAACATATCCCAGGACGCATCAGTGTGCCGTGATGCAGCGGTTGAGAACAATACCGTAATAATTAAATATTGCGCCCTGGACAAAACTTCAAAATGCGCCCTTATGTATTTTTAATTTGAAAATATTATAATTATTCGATATTATTTTCAATATTTGCCTGAATTAATATTAAGGACGTTGAATATTTTGTGAATAAAAAAAATAATTTTTGCGCCCTCCTAGAAATCGCGCCCGGGTCGTAGCCTCCTCTCGTCCGCCACCCCACTCATTACTAGGGCTCTCGTTGAGAAACGCTGTTCAACGCGTATGGAACCGCGTTACCGATTACCTGTTACATCACGGTCCTACAACGCTGTAACAATTAACAACAGGGCGCATGGTAACGCATATACGTATAAGTACGTGCGCAAAACGAGACACGGACGGTACCTCGTTTTTGTTTTGGTTCGCCAAGATGTTAGCCAACAACACGTCCCTGAACCTTCTAGCCGAGTAGTGGAAATGGACGTGCGCGTCGGACACCGTTTCGACGAGCATCGCGATGCGGATACGGGAAACGCGCGTAGAACCGCCGCGCAATGAGAACGTCGCGAACACCGCGCGTCGGACTACGTAGAACCGTAACGGGTAGACGGTCTCGAGCGCGAACGCATGGCCGACGGGCCGCGGACCGGACGACGATAACGCGGTCGACGGGACGGACTGAGGATCACGCGCGACGCTCGTCGGCGCAAGAACGGGCCGAACTGACGCGATGACGATTCGGCCGGGGAAAACCGGAAAACAGGTGCACGGCGTACCGGGACGGTATTCGTGACGGTACTAAAACACTACGCGGCCGCCGGTACCCGACGTGTACAATCGGTGCGGGCCGGGATGGAAACGGTAACGGCCGCGCGAACAAGGAAGGAAAACAGAAGAACGATAGCGGCCGCATCTGCTGAGGTGTGTAATGACCGCGACGGCGGCGGCGGCGGCGGCGGTGGCAAGGCGGCAAGGCGGCGGCGGTGTACAAGAACGGATTATTTGGGCAAATGAACCGTAGTGGAATGCGACCGGCAGGCCTTGAACACACCGTTGTCGCCTACACCGCACAGCCGCCGCCGCCGCCACCACCGCGGGTATAATCACGTAGGGACCACCGGACGCCGCGTGCACATGGCGGCAAGGACGAAGACGTTACCGGGGAGCGCATTAGGAAACCCATGACCAATCCAAATTTCGCGCGTTTTTTTAACATCGACATTAACCATCATCAACAGACCAATTTTTTATTATCAACACGTTATACCATATAATTGAATGTTTTATACTTATGGGTACGAATTTTAAAATATAATTTTGATTAATGTAACAAAATTTCGTCGGATGTTAAACAGTATGGTATTACCTACTTGTACATATGCTATAACAGAAACATTTTTCAATACTTAAAGGATGTATACATTATTCTGTATTACCATTGTTACACCTAGACGTGTATTTCGTGTGCAACACAACAGCACTACTTATAGATTATACGCAATGTTACTCGCCGTAATGAGACATACGCATCACACTTACAGGTTAACCGAAGGTGTATGCAAAGGATCCGACCACACCAGATCACGCGTTGTAAAACATCTTGCCTCTCACGTCATCGATCCTCATAAGCTGACAGAAAAATGATTTTAAATCAGAAGAGTATAAACATTTTTTCAATAAAGCTGCAAAAGATATAAAACGTCAGATATATTCGTGAAAATCGAAAACAATAACGAAGAGCGAATGTAAATTCCGCCCAGAAAAACCACATATAAAATATAATAAATGTAAATCCCACCAGGGAAAATATAAATGTACAAAAATGAATTTGAAAATTCTGCCCGCCCGGAAAAAAAAAATTTTTATTAGAGCCCGAGACGGGTTTTGATTACTTTGAAGTTTTTTTTTAAGTTGTAAGCCAAAAGACCATAAATTAATTTAATTTTCAGATTATTTATCAAATAATTATATATATATATATATATATATAAATTATATACGAGTAAGAAATGCCGCGATTTTTCCTCCAAATATATAGATTGCTGCCATAAGCGTGCGCACGTGGTAGCCAGGGTAGGCATTTGATTACTCTGCAAACCTTTCCTCCCTCTTTAAAATATTCAATATTATCACAATAATATATAACCATATTATGTTAAACCGCTTCGAAACGTCCGTAAACGGTAAATACATGTATAAGAATATTTTTAAAAATATAATTATTAAGTTAAATGAAGTTATCCCATCCAAATTTGTTATATATGATTACCGTGCCAGTATGTCTGCGCACGCTTATGGCTGCTGATATAGCAGATTATGAGTTATTTCATTCCCATTTTAATAAAAGTTTTAATTCTAATCAACCTCATATTTTTAACTAAATCTAAGCGAATTCAATTGGAAAATTACATAAAAATAAATAGAATAAATAAACCATATGGATAAAGAAATTAAAAATAAAAAAAAAAAAATAATAATATTCATGCCAAATATTATATAAAAATATAAAAATAATGAAATATTTATTAATGATTAGTAATAACTAATAAATACTAAAAATATTGCTAATAAATATGGCTCATTTTGGAGATTTTGAAAAAAAATAATTTACTTGATATGAAAAATAAATAGTTATAAACTATACATTTTTTCGGGCGAAATTTACATGCATCTTATTTTACCTGCAATTCATTTCGGGTGAAATTTACCATTTTTGGGTGGAATTTTATGCGCCCGTTGTGAGGTTCATCTGTCCCTGACTATCACAAACTTATCTAATAATTTAAGAAGGAGACGGTCGAATACTGTAAATTAAAATATGTTCAATTGATAAAAAATTAACATCATCAGGACTTAGATAAGACTTATTTTAATATTTGTCATTACAAATATTTTAAAAATATGGTAGAAGTAGAAATATGGTGAAGCCACTGGAAAAACGATTTAATAAAATCGGTTTCCTCAAATCTACCTCTATAGATAAATAGTTATAAAAATGGTCTCATGCTTCAACGATAATATACTTGACCCCACAAAACGTTATGACGCTGCGGCACTTCTATTACGTGTAATAAATTATTTAATTGTACTAAATTAAACATGCACTCATTGCACACTTGCTGCAAAACAATACATGAACTTTATGCAAGTTGCATAATTGTCCATTAATGTTTTAAATGTATGATATCACAACGGAATTATATATACGTTAGTACAAGGAACGTGCGTTGGCCTGTATAGCAATTAAAGAAATATGCAGGATGCCAGGATATAAGGAAAAAGTGACGATTACGTGCGTCCATTGCACTTGTCGTAAATCACGATAAATTATTATAATGATTAAAGTTAAATGATTTTTTTTATCTTTACAGTTATAATGTTAAGCTGAAAACGACAATCAAATATGCGCAGTATTTTTTTTTTACGATACATTATAAAAACGCTTAAATTTAATTATAAATATCAAATTTTGTACCATTAAACAAAGTCCATAAACTTAATATATTCAGAGTAGTAATTATTGTTATTTAATATATAAATGGTTATGGTCACTCCATTTATTCATCTAAAATGTGAATTATTTATTTAAATAAATCTCCTAAAACATATTTTTACGTTCATTCTTAACCGAAAATTATAATAATTAATAAATGATATGTAAACATAATAAAATATCTATATGGCAGTGGTACATAAAATACAAACAAATATTTATTGTATAATGTACAAACTCGTAAATCGTTATATTTATGTTTATAACATCAATATTAACAAACGTCAAACAGTACACAAATAAATAATAGTTATTATAAATTATAAGATATAACATATATAACATATAACATACGCTTCAATAGTTGTTAGGTTCGTCAAAATGTTTAATATAAGACATTATCTCTCTTTAAAAATGAATACAGAAACTTATTGAAAATATATAATACACTGCTATCAGCTTTTATACTTTTTTTTAAAAATCTTATTATTCTTATTAATATTCATTAGTCATTATTGTTTTATTAGTATATTTAAAACTCATAAAATCTTTAAAAAATAACTTTTACCATTATTTTATAGGAAATCTAGAAACAGTTGAATGTTAAATCAAATCTCGGTTTTGTCTTCATCAATATAGTTCTAAATTATAATTAAATATTCTTCTTATGATCCTCACACTTTTTAAAAATTGTATTTTATTATTTTAATATAAAATTACCAAAATAATATGTTAATTTGCATTTATAGCTTATATATAATACTGTATTAGTTCACGTATTGCAGAAGTACAGTAGAATTGTACGAACTAACATATAATGCTACAATTTTACGTGACATACATACATTTCTTGAACGAATTTATTTTTAGCTTGTTTTTAAAAACGAAGGCCTTGTTCTAAAATGTTCTAAAAACATTTTCTTCAGTTAGACAGAATAGTATTTTCAATAGATACAATAAAAATTATAATTAAATACTTGAAATTTAGCGATACTAATTATTGTTACAATTGACCAAATAACAAATTAAGCATATAAAAGATTTAATTTGAGTAAAAACTAAGCACTGTTGTTCTAAATCAGTTAAAATATTTTTTTTTTCAAACCCAAATCATATATTCTTATATATTTATAAAATAGTTAACCTAAGAAAATTAGAGTTATTTGCAAAATTGATGAAAAAGATTGTTTTTTCTTAAATAATTTTTTTTTAATTGAAACGAATAGTTTAGCTAGAATAATAATACACGCATAAAACGATTACAGATGTAACCAGTTCATTGATTTACTGTAATGGTTTAAAACAAATTATTTGTATTATACGGTTGATTATGGGTTTTGGATGAATGGTTTCAAATTTCACCGCTGTGGTTACGCATACACAATTATTTTTTTTTAGGTATTTTTTATCTAATGTTAACCATTAATCATTGACTAATAGGTATACGAGTTAAATGCATTTAAAATACTGACATTTTTTTTTCCGTTCTGCGTAATTGATGCCGTTCCAAAAAATACTTATGTCTTGAGATAATTTTGAGGAACTTATTAATATATCCTTGATATGTGATTAAATAAAATGTTTACATTTATTATACATAAACGGACGTGTAAACTCTAAATAGCACACAGTGTATTTGTACTAACGATGACAGCTATTTACTATGCATATGTATAATCATTTCATATAAAAACTTAGAAATAATTAATTCGTTTATATTAGTATCTTAATCAAAGTGTTTTTATTAATGAGTAATATATTTTTAAACGTTTCTTAATCAATTTAATGTATGGATTATAGAATGAGATAAAAAAAAAATATCTCTGGGGCGATTTTTGAATCTCAATCGAGTATGTAAATATGTACATAAAACTGTTGAAAAAAAACAAATATTTAAAAATTTAATTAACACTTTCTTAACTATTATTTTTACTTTCTATAAAGATATATATATATATATATATATATATATATATATGTATATATTAACATACAAGTTCCGAGTTCTTTCATTAAGATTGAATACGAAATTTTATACACGGATAATGTATAAAATTAAAAATACCGAAAAACAATATTTAATAAAGTACAATAATATAAAAAACTTATCAATCGACTATTTACACGCGGATTTTTTTTTCAATTTATATATTATTACAACGCTAATAGGATAACGTTATTGGTAAATTATGCTGAATTATAAAAATTAATAATTTTATTAGTAATTATAATCAATAATAAAAGTATACAAAAATAAAGTTGCAATTCAAAGTAAGTATAAATTTATTAATTTTTGTTTTTATTTTTTTCGTAAAACTGCAGACTGCGAATAGTATAATATTATTACGAAACACGTAGTACCAGGGCCAATGGCGTATACAAAGGGGGTGTTTGG